GATCTCCACGTTCCCCCCCCCCTAGCTAGCAATCCAAAACAGTCCAGTGGCACCTTTAAGACCAAGTTTTATTCAGGTACAAGCTCTCCCTCCTCTGTGAGGACAGATCTGCACATCCCCCCCCCCATAGCTAGCAATCCAAAACAGTCCAGTGGAGCCTGAGCGGTGGGTGTTGCCTTCTGACACACGTCCGGTGATGTCAGGGGGTGTGGCATATGCAAATAAGTTATGCTAATGAGTTATGCTAATGAGCTCCTGCACCTCTTTTTCCACAAAATGACCCCTGTCTACCCATCTCGATCTATCAGCAAAGTAGAAATATGACACAGATCCACTGTTTTCCTTGCTGCAGCAGAGTAGTTTTGCTCCCTCAGGTAACCTTTTTCTTTATTGTTGCTGTACATTTCCCTGTGCTCAGGTTCAGCACTGACAACAGGTTTGACAGTCCTCCTGACATAAGGCTAATAGACAGACTGCAAATGTGGCTTCTGGCTGCTAGCTCTGTAGTAACAAGTTTAACATTTTTTCAGGCCCGGTTCACATAATTTTACAACAGTGGCTAAAATGTATATGTTCCTAATTCTAACACATATAATTCAGTCAACAAACAGCTGTTTCAAAAACACACATTTAATTCCTCAGCCTCCTCTCTCCCCTTCCCTTCAACATTGTCCTGCCCACTTTGGTCTTCCTCTCTATCAAACAGTTTGGGTGGTTAACAGACATCCGAACGTATTCAAACTCAAACTGAATGGCAGAAGGAAAAGAGAGGAGAGAGGAAGAACAAGAATAAAACAGAACAAACGCGGGGGACAAACACAAATGCCAGACGGTCCTCAATGTTGTCTTGTGTGGAAAATTTCTTTAAATCTCGACTGCAGAATTTAAAAATCTGTGGTACCAACTGAAATAACATAGTATTTAAATGCTGGAAATGACAAGATTCACCAGTAGCAGAAATAAGAGGGCACTAGTGTGGTGGCTCAGAGGTTAAGACGCTGAGCTGCAGACCGGAAGGCCTGTAGTTCAGCAGTTCGAGACCTGAGTGCCGCGTGACGGAGTGAGCTCCCGTCTCTGGCCCCAGCTCCTGTCAACCTAGCAGTTCAAAAGCAAGAAATTGCAAGTAGATAAATAGGTACCACTTTGGTGGGAAGGTAACAGCGTTCCGTGCGCCTCGGCATTTAGTCATGCCGGCCACGTGACCACGGAAACGTCCTCAGACAAAGCTGGCTCTTCGGCTCGGAAACGGAGATGAGCACCGCCCCCTAGAGTCAGATTCGACTTGCTTCCGAGCAAGGGAAACCTTTACCTTTAGCTTACCTCTAGTGTGGAATAGGAATGATCAGGAAGCAGAGATTTATTTATTCCACTTATTTCTGGAATGCCACGGGGCTCCTGCAAGCTACTGCCCCCTATTTTGACTTCTTCCCCTCTTGAGACACACCACAGCTCCTTGGTTTACTATGGAGCTGGCTGACTTGAAGAGAGCAGGGGGCATTTAGAATGGTGCTAACAGAACACTGTGTCAGTTTACGGACCACTCTGATCTGGTCACTGTGACGGACGTTGACAGGATCCTGGGGTCTGTGAAGACTGCCAATTGTACTCTGGAATTCTTGTCCACCCTGGTTACTGAAATCATGTTAGGATCACATCAATGACTCCCTGATGTCCATCATAAATCGATCACTGATGGCACATCTTTCCTTGGTCACTAAAACAGGGGGTCATCTGTCCGCTACTTAAAAAACTGCTACATCAGAATGATATGGCCAGTTATGGCCCAGTTTCTTAATTTGCCCTTCCTGGGCCAAAACCGAGAGCAGGAAAACTTCAGATTTTCATCTGACTCATCTGCTCTATACCCCTTTCAGCTTGACTTCAGGCCAGACTATGGGATGGAGAGTGCTGGTGGATTTAGTGGATGATCTCTGTGTGAATGTAGACAAGGGCCACACGGCTCTTTTTGTAGCAGGAACTCCTTTGCATATTAGGCGACACACTCCTAATGTAGCCAATCCTCCAAGGGCTTACAGAGCTCTTCTTACAGGGGCTACTGTAAACTCTTGCACCAACTTTTGCCTCCCGTGACAATCTGTTCCCAAAATGAGAATAATTTCCATTTTGCAGATAAAGAGTCCTTTATTTTTACATTAATTCATAGGTACCTTTAACCAGGTGCTTGCTGGAAACTGCAGCTGTGGAGTTATCGGCACCTCACATACAATGCAGGTTGGTGTGTTCATGGGCACCATGGTTTGGCATTCAACACACAGCCCCATCTGCAGGGAAAGATAACAGCTGTCAAAATAACGGACACGTTTATTCTCATTCCCTTGCCCAAATGGGACACTATAAAAAGGATCTTCTAATGGCCCCTTGGCTGGTAGCAGAAGCCTCCTGGGCATCAGCCCCTGACAGGATTGAGAAGAAATGACTCAGATTCAGCCTCAAACCAAATGAACCTGGAAGTTGCCCACTGGGGCACTTTAGTGACCCGCAAGCCCTTCTTAAACACAAGGCAACGGCGAGATTTGCTGCGGGCATCTGCCCAGAGCTATCCAAACAGCCTCTCTACACAAATGTGTTCTTCCTTTCTGCTACCGGCAGCCAAGGGGGTAAATTATTTCAGCAGAAAGTGGATGGCAGCAGAATGGAACATTTTGTCCACATTCATTCCAGAGCTTCCAGTATTTGTTTAGAACATTTATTAGCTATTCTTCCTTATAGAGCTCAAGGCTGTTTACAAACAGAGATAAAACGCACAGAACAAAATAAATCACTACTCAGACTGCTACTGAACTTAACCCAATCCACTCCTAAATACCCCGGGGGTCACATTCGGGGAAAGGGGTGAAGTCACCATCACGACTGCACTGAAGATGACCTATAAGGAAGCCTTTCTACAGTGTTTGACTGCAGTTAACGGGTTTGGACCAGCAGGATTGCTTAGCTGGCCACCTCCGCTTATATGTGGATGAAGAACATTTACAGGTATGTAATGTTGTTTTAAAATTAAGCATGACTTCTTCCAGGGTTCTGAAACATATTCTTACGATCCAGAAAACGAAATATGCCCACCCTATGATCAATGTTCCCTCTAAGCTGTGGGGTCTTGTGAGCAAAAATTCTACTTTGTGAGCTACTGGCATTAAAGTTGTGAGCAAGCCATTTGGCTACTGCATAACTTAGTTTGCTCTGGAGCCCTCCTTCCTGAGCTAAGACAAAAACGTGTGAGCTGGAGGCTAAAAAACGGTGAGCTAGCTCACACTGACTCAGTTTAGAGCAGTGGTTCTCAAACTTCCTAATCCCGTGACCCTTTAATACAGCTCCTCATGTTGTGGTGGTGACCCCCATCCATAAAATTATTTTCGTTACTATCATAAGACCATCAAAAATTTGTGTTTTCTGAGGGTCTAAGGCGGCCCCTGTGAAAGGGTCATTTGACCCCCAAAGGGGTCATGACCCACAGGTTGAGAACCACTGGCTTAGAGGGAATACTGCCTATGATCCTTTATTCACAAGAATCTAAAGATATAGCAGGGGTATTTTTGGGCAGGAACGCACAGGAACGGAGTTCCGGCTGGCTCCCAAGTTGGCCACGCCCAGCAGGAACTCATTAGCATAATAGGCCACACCCAACAGCAGAAACTCATTAGGATTGGCTACAGTAGGAGTGTGTGGCCTAACATGCAAAGGAGTTCCTGCTACAAAAAAAGGCCCTGGGTTTTGACAACAAACAAGGTAAACAGAATAACAAGCAAAAGGTGGGTGTGGCTGGATGAGCACACTTCTGGTAACATGGGAGTGCGGCCTAATGTGCTAATGAGCTGTGCTGTCAGGTGTGTGGCTGGATATGCTAATGAGTTTCTGGTGTTGGGTGTGGCCTATTATGCTAATGAGTTCCTGCTGGGCTTTTTCTACAAAAAGAGCCCTGGAAATAAGTATTAATAAACACACCAGTTCACACGAAAATCCCATTTTTCTCAATCAGCTTCGGTCCCTCTCCCCTATCTGCCACTACATTTTCTCACACTTTTAAAAAATTTCTTATTTTGTATTCCTTTTCTTTGATGACTGTTCAACAAATGCTTTATTTGTGGCTATGAAATCATCAAATTAAACTTAAAAAATAATAATGAAGAAAACTAGGCCTGTCACTATTTTCTAGTAAGTTCTATGCAAAAAAAAGGTTTCCCTCCAACGTTACACTGTACTGTGTGGGAATCTTGTTTAATTCAAAAGGCAGAAAGCTGTTCCCCCCCACATTTTGCTACCCTGTAATGGCTGGAAGTCCTTCCAGGAAATATAGTTCATTGGGGCTGATTTTTATTTTTTTAAAGAGAAGTTTCCCACTGTATTTTCTGTTGCTGACCTGAGCTTCTTCAGGAGGTGGGAGGCTGTATCCAGGCACAGGTGGAATCAACAAACCACATTCCTGACAGAAACGAGCAAACGGATCTAACGAGCGAGGAGCTAGGCACTGTGGACACCTAGAGAAATAACAGCACATCAAATGGAAATTATCAAAAACAAGTAAAAGCAGTTACAGTCTTTAGTGGATCCTTGTCCTTTGGATACTGGGTATTCCAGGTCAGGGATAAGACTAAAGTAGTTTAAAGCAATACCCCTAGACTCTGAACCAACAACCAAACCTGCAAAAAGGGGACACGGATGGTGGGATTAAGGACCTTGCGCAACTATGCTGGATGAAGCCCTGATAGCAAAAACATTGCCTTCCGATAGTTAAATTCTATCTAAAGAGAGCCAGTTTGGTGTAGTGGTTAAGTGCGTGGACTCTAATCTGGGAGAACCGGGTTTGATTCCCCACTCCTCCACTTGCACCTGGCTGGATGACCTTAGGCAAGCCGTAGTTCTGATAAGAGCTGTTCTTGAAAAAGAGCAGTTTCTGTCAAGAGCTCTCTCAGCCCCACCTACCTCACAAGGTGTCTGTTGTGGGGAGGGGAAGGGAAGGGAGTTTGTAAGCCGCTCTGAGACTCCCTTGGGGAGTGAAGGGCGGGGTATAAATCCAATCTCCTCTCTTCTTCTTCTAGCATGGGACAGGTTCAAGTTACAGTAGACCTTTGCCGTTTGTGAGGGATCCATTCCTGGGCTCACCACAAATGGCGAAGTCCACGAACACCAGGAGATGGAGTCTGCTGCTTCCTAGGAGCAAAACAGCTAAATTGCCTGCAAACTTTAACAATATAATAATTATGATGATAGGAATAAAAAAAGTCTGGAGACTACATTATGCGATCAGACTGTGGATCACATGCCAGTCATGAATTTGCGAACGGCAAGAGTCTACTCTGGGGCTCCCCAACGTGGGGCCTGGGGTGCTAGGGCACCCACGGACACCTTTCCTGGAGCATGCCAAGTGTTCTTAGAAAGTGGGTGCAGCCAGTCAAGGCTCTGGTTGGCTGTGCAGCTTAAAATAACATTGTTCCAGCAGCACTGCCACCACAGTGTTGGTTTTATTCTCTCTCTCTCTCACCATGTAGGGTGAGCCAGTTTGGTGTAGTAGTTAAGAGTGGCAGACTCTAATCTGGGAGAACCGGGTTTGATTCCCCACTCTTCCACAGGCAGCGGCTGGGTGACCCCTTGGGTCAGTCACAAGTTCTCTCAGAGTTGTTCTCTCAAGAGCGGCTCTCTCAGCCCCACCTACCTCACAGGGTCTCTGTTGTGGGGAGGGGAAGGGAAGGAGATTGTAAGGCGCTCGGAGACTCCAAGTGAAGGGCGGGGTATAAATCCAATCTCTTCTTCTTCTCTTTTCCACGTATATATTTTTAAATTACCCCTTGTTGCGCCCTCTACCCTGTGTCAGAGCTCCAAAAGGTGCCCAAGGATCCGAAAGTTTGGGGACCCCTGGTCTACTGCAATTTAGTTTGTCCTCAGCTTCATTTTAGATGTTACAACTCCACAACCTCATAAACAGTCAAAAGAGAAATACGTACTTGAGGAAGCCTTTTGCTCTTTGGATTTTCAATGCCTGAGTGCTGGTGAGACTTCTATTACTCACAGCAGAGTTAGCAAGCTGGAAAAAAGACAACATTTGGTTAAGTATAAAAGCTAAACAGGCATATAAGCTGTAAGAGACATACTTAGAACGTCCACTTGAAAGGCTATGTTTGCATGCATTTATCTCAAGCCAGGTCCCCCTTAAGTCAGGCTTTCTGGCACCTCACTTTCTGCCCCGCCAGTGCTCTGCCTCCACTGGGAGGAGTGGACGCTGGGGCTTTGAAGACACCATTTAGGCTGCAGGACCGGCCTTGCTTCAGGACAGTCAACAGACCTCCAAAGTGGCCTGGCCAACCTCCAGGTTCCAATGCTAGAATGGTTTGATGGTGATGGAAAGAATTTTAATCACATGGGTAAAATGCTTTTCCTGCTACAATTTTGAATGAAACCTCCAATCCAGGCAAGGTGAGCCTGCCAGGGGTGTCAAACTTAAGGTCTGGGGGCTGGAACTGGCCCATCCACGGATCTTACCTGGCCCGCAAGCAACTGCTATGTGTGGAAATATAAAGTACTCTCCCTTTTATGGTATCCCTTGGGGGGGGGGGAACCTAGTCTTACATATGATTAAACACATTTATTGGGGCTTTGGGGGGTTCCCCCGTAAATCAATTGCTTTCTCCATTAGGAATCAATTGTTTTTGTTTGTACTTTGACTTAAAAATATTGTTAATTGGGTTTGCCTTTGTAAAGTTTATATCTCCGGTACCTGGCGTTACATTTTGTGGCACACAGTGTAAAGTTCCTGCAGGAGCGCACAGGAGCAGAGCTCCGGCAGTAAAGAGCCCAGGGGGCGGGCACATGCAACAAGCCCCACCCCCTGCTCCCAGCAGCCCTCAGTCAGAGCAAGAAGCAGCCAGGTAAGCTGCAGAGCTCCCCCTGGTCCAAAACAGTCCAGTGGCACCTTTAAGACCAAGTTTTATTCAGGTACGAGCTCTCCCTCCTCTGCGAGGGCAGATCTGCACGTTTCTCCCCCCCCCATAGCTAGCAATCCAAAACAGTCCAGTGGAGCCTGAGCGGTGGGTGTTGCCTTCTAACACACTTCCGGTGATGTCAGGGGGTGTGGCATATGCAAATGAGTTACGCTAATGAGTTACGCTAATGAGCTCCTGCACCTGTTTTTCTACTAAATGACCCCTGGTGGCATATATGGCCTGGCCCGACAAAGTGATATTTGTGTCAGATCCACCCCTTGTAACAAATGAGTTTGAAACTTCTGTTCTACGCCCTCTGGTTGGGGAGGCCTAAGTCTGGGGCATGTTGGTACTGGGGAAAAACAAACATCCAATACCCGGAGAATCTAGTTTCAAAAACCTACCATAACTCCAGCCAGGAAAGGCCCTGCCCCAACAGCAGATCTGGTGGGTTCCCCTAAAGACCCCAGTTCCAGTTTACTCACCCCTGTGCAGACCACACTTCCACAACAGCTCCAGCCTCTCACCTCCCAGACAAAGGACAGGATTCTCCCTTTTTTTTTAATAATAATAAGTTTTTTATTATTATTATTATTATTATTCTGAACAATATATTCAACAGTACATTCAGAACACAAATTAATACCATGCAATAATCAACATTCTCAACCCGTAAGAGCCTTTTAAAAATATAACAGATCTTTGTAATAAGAGTTGTTTGGAATCACTTCTTCGTCTACGAGATATTCCACTGCTGGGAACCAAGTCGCTTGAAAATCCTTTTGGTGAGAGACTATTTTACCATATACAAAGTGTTCCCAGATTTTATTTTGCCAAGATTGAAGAGTAGGTTGATTTTTGTTTTTCCAATATTGGGCTAATGTTATTCGTGCAATTGCTAACAATGCTGCTATTAATTCTCCCTTGAAGCCCTACCAGACCCTGACCTGACAGAAAAATGATTCCCTTCTAAGAGTTTCCCTAACACGTTATGGATTATGTACAGGTCCTGGTGTCATAGGAAAAGATCTTTTATTCTGTTGGATACTGCATTAACATAGGAATGAGCATTCTCCTACCTGGGGAGGCTGACAGCTAGATAGAAAAGCTTGATGTAGGACTTTCCCCCTGCCACTGAGTTAGTTTTATAGTTTCATCTCTGAGCATTAACAGAGTACCATTTAAATCTTTACCTTGCAAAGCTGTAACATTTTTAAATTCAGATGATGTGAGTGATGTGCCATTCAGGCTGTTTGCTCCCTTTTTGCTCATGATTGTTGCCTCATACTTGCCCTTAGGCTGGCTGTCAGATCACTGTTCTTGGACTGTTGGACTGTTGGACAGTCATTGGACTGTTCTTGACGCCAGGCTTGTCCACCGCCTGATTTTAACTTCTCCCCTGCTTTTGGACTGTCTGATCCATGACTGCTGCCCACAAACCCAACCTCTGCCTGTTTTCATATAAGTACGTCCTCCTGCACCTCATGGGACTGATAGAACCAGGGCTTTTTTGGTAGAAAAAGTCCAACAGGAACTCATAAGCATATTAGGCCACACCCATGACAGAGCCACTCATTAGCATATTAGGCCATACCTGATGCCTTCCTTTGGCTTGCTCAGGTGCCCTGTGGCTGCGGGAAGCCCGGGCAAGCCAGCCCTTGGACAGGCCGGGGATGCATTTAAATGCTTCCCCGATCCTTCCAGGGCCCCCCTGCCCCGCCCACCTCAGAGTCGCTGGGGGTGTGTGTCGCTCTCCAGGCCTTTCTTCTGTAGCCACCCACGCAGAGGTTTTGGCTGTAGTGGGCGTGGCCAACTCTGAAGCCAGCCGGAACTCTGTTCCTGTGCGTTCCTGCCCAAAAATAGACCTGGATAGAACCTTAGCCACCTGCGGCCTGACACCAATGCAAACCTGTAAAACAGATCATAACCAAAGCCCCTTCCCATTTATCATCTTGACACCAGCAGCTCAGAGGCAGCCCAAATATGAAAGGCTATGGCAGGTCTCCAGGAGAACAGGGGTCTCTACGGTTGTGGCCGGTGATCAAGATTATATTTCTCAAAGCCTTTGCAGTCTAGACTGGGCACATGAGTTAGGACAGCATTCTCAGTTAATTTTAGAAACTGGCAAGATACATGGAAAGAAAAGCTACTACCTCGCTGGATCAGGGGAATGCTGTAGACATAGTTTATCTTGATTTCAGTAAGGCTGTTGATAAGGTTCCACATAATATTATTGTTGACAAATTGGAAAAATGTGGCTTGGATCCTATGACTGTTAGGTGGATCTGTAACTGTTTGACAGATCGCACCCAAAGAGTGCTTGTGAAGGGTCCCTCATCATCTTGGAGTGGAGTGACAAGTGGAGTGCCTCAAGGATCTGTCCTGGGACCTGTTTTGTTCAACATCTTTATCAATGATTTGGATGAAGGAATAGAGGGAATGCTTATTAAATTTGCAGATGATACTAAATTGGGAGGGGTAGCAAATACAGGATGATCCTAACAGGCTGCAAAACTGGGCTAACAATAACAAGAATTTCAATGGGGACAAATGTAAAGTTCTGTATTTAGGTAGGAAAAATCACATGCATAATTATAGGTTGGGGGAGACCTGTCTTGGCAGTAGTATGTGCGAAAAGGATCTAGGGGTCTTCGTAGACCATACACTGAATATGAGTCAGCAGTGTGATGAGGTTGCTAAAAAGGCAAATGCGATTTTGGGCTGTATCAACAGAAGTATAGTGTCCGGATCACGAGATGTGATGGTACCACTTTACTCTGCTCTGGTTAGACCTCACCTAGAGTAGTGTGTTCAGTTTTGGGCACCACAATTTAAGGATATAGACAAACTGGAATGTGTCCAGAGGAGAGCAACGAAGATGGTGAGGGGTCTGGAGACCAAGCCCTATGAGGAAAGGTTGAAGGAGCTGGGTTTAGCTTGGAGAGGAGATGAGTGAGAGGTGATATGAGAACCATCTTCAAGTACTTGAAGGACTGTCATATAGAGGATGGTACAGTTCATCCATGCGGTGAACCCAGTACTTTTCAGACTAAACATTAGGAAGAACTTCCTGACAGTTAGAGTCATTCCTCAGTGGAACAGGCTCCCTTGGGAGGTGGTGGGCTCTCCTTCTTTGGAGGTTTTCAAATAGAGGCTAGACGGCCATCTGACAGCAATGCGGATTCTGTGAACTTATGCAGACGGTGAGAGGGAGGGCAGGAAGGGTTGCCTCAGTGCTTAGTTCTTGTGGCCCTTTCTTAGATGCCCAGGGAAATGCTGAGTGCCACTTTGGGGTCAGGAAGCAATTTTTCTCCAGGCCAGTTTGGCCAGGGATCCTGGAGGGTTTTAGTCATATTCTGGCATGGAACAGCAGTCACTGCGGGTGTAGAGGGGGAGGCGTTTGTGAATTTCTTGCCTTATGCAGGGGGTTGGACTAGATGACCCTGGAGGTCCCTTCCAACTCTATGATTCTATGATTCTAATTTATGATTCTAATTTAGATCTAATATAGTGAAGTTCTAAAAGAAAAGTGACTACAGACACTGGAGTACTGGCATCAATACGCTCTTGCTGACCCATCACCATCAAAAGACGTTTTCCAAAGGTTTCCAAAATAGTCCTCAAAGGAAGCCACACTGTGGAACTCCTTGCAACTGTCTCCAGCACTGTCCATATTGACATCTATGCATATACTGTCAAACAGGGCCATAAATACCGTCTCATTGCCATCCCCAGGCTGGAAGCCGAGAAAAAGCTTTCAGGAGTCCCAGACACCACCGGATCTCTTATCCAAGCACTGTAGGGCAAGGATCTTAAGGGTTCCTAAACAGATGCTGCAGACGTCCAGAGTGTCCAGCAAGAGAGGGAAGATCACTGGCACCTAGCACACTTGGCTCTTCTACAAAAACATTGGCACCCTACCACTTGATTGATCTTGTCCAGCTTGCCTCATTTCGCCTGTCTAAAGAGAGCCCTCCCCAGTAGCATTCTCCTCAAACACACAGCACAAATTAGCGTGGGAATGAGGTGCACATCTGGATAAGCAGACAAAGCAGCTCAGGGAAAGCAGAACAGCCAAGGGAGGATTTTTCTAGATTTACTAACACTTAATGCATCAGTCAGCTAGTTCAACAACTCCGTTCCTGGCCTTTTGGTTGTCTCAATTGTGACACTCTGTCTGGTTGCCCAGGATCCCGAGTACATCAGCCTAGTCCTTGCCTATTTGTTCCTAATCCTTCTATGTTGGCTTCCAGCTATCTCAGTGTTATCTTTTCCTGCCATAAGCAGCTTACAAACCTCAAAATTACAACAAAAAACAGTCTAGGTCATATGTAATACAAAAAATAAAATTTGTCCTGTGGGGGCCCACTCCACAGAACAGGAGCTGCCCTTGAAAACACACGGTCTTTAGTTGCTGTCTAATGCAACTGATGGACAATGGACACATCCCCACAAGACCTACAGTGCAGATTCTAAGTGGTGCATGTGGATTTCTTTCAAGACTGATTGGGAAGGTAAGAGACCTGCCAAAGCCTTTCATGTTTAGGCTGCTGATGTGAAGACAATAAAGGGCAGGCCTGCACATATTCTCATTGGCAGGGGTCACACGTGTGTGAAAAGCACCACAAGTAAGAATGATGGCCTACCCTTAGTACTTGTGCTGGACTGGATCACAGTCTAATGGAGAGCTCCAAAACTGGCTTTCCTTTCTAGCGCTACTGTAATGTACTCCGCCATTACCACGTGCGTGACCGTTGGGCCATGCGGTCTAGCAAAGCCTGAAGCTTCGCTCTAAGAGGACAATAGAACAGCGGATCCTAGCCCGCAACTATCAGAGGGCCAGGTCCGCAGCCGAGAGCCTATAGGACTCTCGGCTACTGTAAATAGCCTATAGGGAAATGGGGGTGTGTTTTGGTGGTGGGTTTTCTGTGCATATATACCGGCCTGCGAGCAGGCTTACTTTGTCTTGTTCCTGCTTAAATAAAGTACTCTTGCTGAAATCACTCCATGTTTCTGAGTACTTTTCAGCTACTTTCTTAGTCAAGGTGGCATAAATATTCAACCTGCTCCTCTAGCATTTGAGCCAATTAGTTGCTTTGGTTACCTGTGACTCAGGTATCAACGTGGCAGGGCTGGCCTCTTCTTTATCAGGTGAGGCGTTCAAGTTGAGTCGATGCTGCCTGACAGACAAGGAGGGCACAGATCTTTTTTCTTTTGACACACCTGAAATTGCATGCATGTTTAATCTTCACACATTCCTATATCACACTGCAGAAGAATGTGAACTCTGAATAACACTGTATAATAATGACACTGATGGTGGAAAGCATCGTCAAGTTGCAGCCCACTTAGGGTAACCCTGAAGGGTTTTCAAGGCAAGAGACGCAGTCTAAATCATTCCAGGGTTGGCCATTGCCTGCCTCTGCATAGCAACCCTGGGCTTCACTGGCGGTCTCGCATCCAAGCACTAGCCGGGGCCAACCCTGCACGGCTTCTGAGACCTGACAAGATCCGGCTAGCCCAGGCCACCCAGGTCACAGCAATAGTTGGCATTAAAGGTAAAGGTTCCCTTGCTTGAAAGCCAGTCGACTCTAGGGTTGCGGTGCTCATCCCTGTTTCCAAGCCAAAGAGCCAGCGCTGTCCGAAGACGTTTCCGTGGTCATGTGGCCAGCATGACTAAACACCAAGGCGCACGGAACGCTGTTAACTTCCCACCGAAGTGGTACCTATTTATCTACTTGCAATTTCTTGCTTTCGAACTGCTAGGTTGGCAGGAGCTGGAACTAGAGACGGGAGCTCACTCCGTCATGCGGCACCCGGGTCTCGAACTGCTGAACTACCGACCTTCCACAGCCTGCAGTTCAGCGTCTTAACCACTTGAGCCATGTGGCCTGCATGGAACGCTGTTACCTTCCCACCGAAGTGGTACCTGTTTATCTACTTGCAATTTCTTGCTTTCGAACTGCTAGGTTGGCAGGAGCTGGAACTAGAGATGGGAGCTCACTCCGTCATGCAGCACCCGGGTCTGGAACTGCTGAACTACTGACCTTCCACAGCCTGCAGTTCAGCGTCTTAACCACTTGAGCCACCGCAGCCTCCTATAATAGATGGCATTACAAAGCCAGTATTCCAAAGTAAGCCTCCAAGTCCACAATCCTAGGGGCTGTTTGGGTGATACTTTCCCAATCTCGCTTCCACACGTGGTGGGATCAAGAGTGTGTTCTGCTATCCTTTTTCTCCCCTCCTCCCTGCTATTAAGCATAGAAGGGAATGTCCCAGGCCACCCACCCTTGCCTTTTCCTCCAAGAATCTGTTATTAAAGTGGCAACCCAAGACTGGTATAAAAAAGACTTTGACAGATTGCAGAACCAAGCCCATTTAGGGAATTATCATAAAGGTCTTGGGCGTAATGCCTGAAACCGAAGAGTTACAAAGAAGCCAAGAAGAATAATTGTCTTGTCAAGATTTCGGTAGGATTCATCTCCACAGGACAGTGAAAATCCCTTTAACAGCCGTTTTTGGTTCTATTAGCTCTGCTTCTAACATATACTACCTTGAGATTCCTGAGCGACACCATTCCATTTGGTTTCCTTATTCACCTCTTTCTTTTCCAGTCTTGAATCAGATAATCCATTTTCCATATCCTGCGGGGGGGAAAGATTCTGATCTATAATCGGATATGACTGTTTCTGCCTCTTGAACATTCTCTGACCATTCCAAGTATCTTTACAAGCATACTTATTAAGCATGGTGATGGATTAGTAATGGGATGCAGATAGCAAGAAGCACACGCACTCTTGGTAGCACATTCCAACATGCTTATGGTAACATGTGCATCATTTGGGCTATACTAGGGAAAAGCAAAGCTGTATCTTTTGGCATATATTGCCACAATGACTGACATTTATGTACGGCAGAGAGGTAAAGCTGAGACGAGTGTATTCCACTTAATCCTGATATGCTCCAGGAACAATCTATGCCACAGAAAAATCCCACAATTTCATCCTCTTTTACTCCAGACACATTATTTAGTGGCTGCTCTTTTTATTCATCTCAGAGAAAAAGGCATACTTAAAATTTAATCCGAACTTATTATTCAGGACATCCCTTGCAGGCCTCCTGTGTCTCTGACAGCTAACCCTTTGTACAAAGAGCGGAATGATTTATAATGAGACAGCCATGGATTCTTTGATGTGTAGTCTGCTCTCCGTTAATATAAATGGATAGAGAGCTCTTTAAAGGCTCAGGAATCCTGTTTGATAGTTCAGCGTGCTGTCGTCACATTTGCCCACTTCAGTTAGAAATGCTTCACAGAAGACCTACACAACTTGTGACACTCTCCAGTTCCAATGAAGACCATCTGAAATGCATTGTTATGGTTGCATCACATTGTAAACTACCCCCCCCCCAAAATTGTGCAAGTTTAAAACCAGGTTGCTTATTTGTTGAGTGGTCATCTCTGCAGTCACACACATGGGCCTTGCACCTGTAAAAGGTAAAGGTAAAGGTTCCCTTGCTCGAAAGCCAGTCGAATCCGACTCTAGGGTTGCGGTGCTCATCTCCGTTTCAAAGCCGAAGAGCCAGCGCTGTCCGAAGACATTTCCGTGGTCATGTGGCCGGCATGACTAAACACCGAGGCGCACGGAACGCTGTTACCTTCCCACTGAAGTGGTACCTATTTATCTACTTACAATTTCTTGCTTTCGAACTGCGTGTGTGTGTGTGCAGTCACACACATGGGCCTTGCACCTGTACAGAGCTACAATTCAGGAAGTTCTAGGGCTAGCTTTTAGGCATAAAGATCTCTTCCTTTCACAGATAAAAGTTTTTATTGCACATGCCAAAAGGGAAAGTGTTGCAGGCAGCGGCTAGAAAGGTTCTCTAATAGCTGCTACCACCCTGGTATGGGTCTCCTCGGGAGGGCCCAGAGCACCCACCTGACCCCTTTATACACTCCTTTTCCAACAGCTTTCCCTTACAAGTGACCAAATTAAAATCTTGGAATTTTGTAAAGGTGTACTTCTTTTTTGTATGTCTGGTCTAAGGACTGTAGAAATAAACTAAACCAATAAGTGACCAAATGAGGTGTCAGGACCCAGGCAGAGAAACAAACTATTTTTATTAAGGGGATTTAACAACAACTGTAATACAGTAACATGTAGGAAAATCGAACACAGCAAAGGTAGGTAAACCAGCAAAATAAGCAACCCTAACGCGTCTGACTATAGGCTGCGGTCACACATGCCAGTTGAAGGGGAAGGGAAGCGAGGCTATTCCCCCTGGAGGTATTTGACACACCGTTGCGAGATCACATCTCCTTTTGCAGCTGCGGGTGCAGCCCATCACTGTGTGATCAGACGCAACTGCGGGTGAGTCGGGGGTTTTTTTGCCGCTTATTATCCTTGCGCATAAATGAGGAATTGCACCTCCGCACTAAGGGCCCCCCATGGAGTATGCCAATGATGCGCATACTGCGAAGGGGGGGGGGACAACGGCACCGAGCCAGGATGGCCTGATCTGACCATCCCAAGGGCATGCACGCGTCCTTGCGCGATCAGACAGGGGAAAGTCCGTCCGTGGCCCATTGGAATATGTTTACTACTGGAATTTCCCTGGTGTGTTTTTACTCCGCTTCTGTAGTGGAGCAGCACAGGTTGCCAAAAACTGTGGGACACTTCCCAGATGTTGCTGTCCAGTCACACCCTTTAGATCCATCAGGCATTCATGCCTATGTTGGATGTACTGGCGTGTGTGATCACAGCCTTTACTGTACCTAGCCTTCTCCAGGTCTTTGGCCTCAAGCCGCCTCACACCTTTTGGATGAGGGATCCCTCCAACTGCAGCAGCTTCACGCTAGCCCTGCTCCCTAGGAGTGAATAACTTCCCACGTTGGGCAAGGCCTTTTATCTCTTCTTCCCAGGCACCACCCTCTCTCTGCTCCTCTACTGGGGTATGTTTTCCCTCCAGATCCCCTGTTAACCGATCACTGGGTCCAAAGGAGACCTGAGAAATAGCTACTCTAGTACAGGCTTTCCTGGAGCCACTAGAGCCTGTAGGCTGCACCAGGGCTTTTTTTGTAGAAAAAGCCCAGCAGGAACTCATTAGCATAATTGGCCACACCCAACAGCAGAAACTCATTAGCATATTAGGCCACACCCCTGACAGCACAGGTCATTAGGTCAGACTCCTCTGTTACCAGAAGTGTGGTCATCCAGGCACACCTACCTTTTGCTTCTTATTCTGTTTACCTTGTTTGTTGTCAAAACCCAGGGCTTTTTTTGTAGCAGGAACTCCTTTGCATGTTGGGCCACACACCCCTAATGTAGCCAATCATAATGAGTTTCTGCTGTTGGGTGTGGCCTATTATGCTAATGAGTTCCTGCTGGGCGTGGCCAACTCAGGAGCCAGCCAGAACTCCATTCCTGTACATTCCTGCCCAAAAATAGCCCTGGGCTGCACTATTATAGGCCCATGATCATGACAGAAGGGATCACGCTTTACTGCACAGTTCCTTCCAAACCCTGTAAGAATATGCCAGAGCAAGAAAAGATTAACAGTTGTGGGAAGGCAGGTGGGCTATGCGAATGCACAGATGACCACTCAAAAAACAGCAGGTGAGCAACCTGCTTTTAATTTCTTCTTGGTCTCTGTGCATCACACTGATGGATACAGTCTAAAGCTGACCTACCAGGAGGCAGGTACAAGCTTTAAGGAAAACACTGAGTTGAGGACGGCTTGGCTGAAGGATGGATCAGTTCTGGCTCTGATGTCTAGGGCAGTGCCTTACGAAGGTTGGCCCTGGGCAGCGGCTCAGCATCTGCATCTCTGGTGGATGAAAGGGAACGGAGTGGGAAGGTGTGATCCCTCCCCTTTGGGCCTGTGCAGTCTCAAGCTGTATCTCTGACGGGAGGGGATTTCTGCACTTAAAAGCCAGCGCTAGAAGTTTTTAAAGCATAGCTCTATGCAGATGCAACACCCACCAATGTGATTTACAAAGACCACAAAAAGTAAACAAGAATTATCAACTCCCTGGTTGCATGGCTCTGTAGATAGCTAATGCTATACAAGTAAGAATGTAAGAAGATTGATTTAATCTTGAACTCACTGCATAAGAGATTCAGGAACTTATTTGTATGGTTCTATTATAATTGCCGTCCTTTGTAATTCTGCTACCACTGCCTTGATTTTTTTTTGTCTGAACTGGTCTCTCCACAGTAGCAACAAAAGAAGTTTTTAAAACACACAACTATAACACTAGCCTATTTATCATGATTTATTACCATCTTTAAAACATCTTTCTGTTGGTTGACTTTACAATTTGGAAAGACTTGCCTGCCCGGAGGGATTTTTCAATAGATGCTCATCATTCTCTCCATCAACTGTATGCGTGTTTGGTGTTACAAAGTCTACCACAAATACTTTTGTTACAACAGCACTCTCTCTGCAGTCTCTGAAAGTAAAGAGATGTAAAATTTCCAGATATTTTTAAGCCATTGGGAAACACACACACACACTGATTTTCTGGGGAGGTCGGGGTTTTAGGAAAACCTGAAACATATGCAATACTTTGTGAGCAGACATTCATTTCTTTTACAGTTTTAACAAACATAAAAGGCATCATTTATAACTTAGCATATAAAACAGTATCATTTGGAACATTTATGAAATGTAGAAGAATAAATGCCTTAGTTTTCTATGTGGAAACACGGCAAGCACACCCCATACTTGAGAAAGAGTTGGAAACTGCTGCACCCTATACTACTATAGCACATGTATCTTCATTTTTGCCATCTAAGTGGTAGGGGGAAAAAGTTGAATATAGAAAACAAATTCTATAGTAAACAGAAGAAACCGTATTTGGACAGAAACACTCTCATTCAGGCACAAAAGGTGGAATACCAGCATGTTTGGATAGTAAAATTTTATAACACTGACAGCGCTAAACTCTTTAATTATGGTCAGGGACCAGCCTACCTGAGGGACCACCTTTCCCCGTATGTTCCCCAGAGAGCACTGCGATCAGGATCCCAAAACCGCCTGGACCCCCCTGGCCCAAAGGAAGTCAGGTTGATGGCAACCAGGACGAGGGCTTTTTCATTTGTAACTCCGTCCTACTGGAACGAGCTTCCTGCCGAGATCAGGGCCCTGCGGGACTTGTCACAGTTCCGCAGGGCCGTGAAAACAGAACTTTTTAGGCAGGCGTTCCACTAGGAGCGACGTCCTACCAGCAACGCCCTGTGTGAACTCCGATTCAATACGACCTAGCTCGGTGGCACCGCTGAATGTGTCCCTAAACTGCACTTTATTTTTATCGCTATCGAATGAAAGTTTTATATTGACTTGTCTATGTTTTTAAATTATGTATTTTATTCTATTACTGTAAAATGTATACTGCTTATCAGTTTTTGGAAGCCGCCCTGAGCCTGCCTGGCGGGGAGGGTGGGGTAGAAGTGAAATAAATAAATAAATAAATAAATAAATAAATGTATAATCATGAAACACATTATAGCATATTGTTGCAAAAGTCATTTTTATTTAAACAACAAAGTATTCTTTTTTGGGGAGGGGTTGGTATTTTTTAAATATGTGCATGAATATGTGTGTGTCTGTGCGCACATGTCTGTGCACCTGGAAGTCATGGTGACCTCTGGTGACCGACCCCTACTGGGGGTCTGGAGGATATTTAGAGAGGTGGCTGAGTAAAGCCTGCCCCCACCTCCTGCCTCTGGTATTTCAAGGAGGTCTCCCATTCAGGTACTTGCCAGAGTCAACCCTGCTTAGCTTCCGAGATCAGACAAGATCAGGCTTGCCTGGGCTATCCCGGGTTAACAAAAAACTATTCTTGAAAATGTTTTGTATATCTACAGTATAAAAAGGGATTATTATTATTATTATTATTATTATTATTATTATATAAAGATTGTTTTACGTAAACATTTTCATACTGTCTTGTCTTTGATTTTGATCATTCAGAAAAAAAATCATAAGAGTTTTTCTGTGCTCCCCAAGATTTCCTGGTTTTCCATTGGAAAAATCGAAAAATTCCTGACTTTTTAATGCTATACAGTATGAGTGAGTGATAAACCCATTGTCTTAAAAAGCAGTTTGTTCACTCTAAAAGAGAAAATACTTTGAATGAGTTTTTTCAGTGCTCTCCTAATTCCCCAACTTTTCCACTGAAAAAGTCTGAGGACTCTTCCACGCTAAACATTTTGAGTGAGACAAACGTCTTAAGAAGGATTTCACTCATTCCAACAGAAAATATTTCTTGGGACCTCCCCCCCCCCAAGTGCTCCCCAAAATCTCCTATTTTTTTCTCTTTGATTGCTATGAATTTGGAATGAGTTAAAGAGGTTTTATGATGAGATCAATACTGAATTACGCCTGTTCCTTCTCTACTAACTCCAGGGCTTTTTTTGGTGGCGGCTCCACTCTGGTGGAATGAGCTCCCGGAAGAGACTAGGGCCCTGCGGGACCTTTCACAGTTCCGCAGGGCCTGTAAACCAGATCACCGCAGACTGTGACAGCAGCCATGAAATTAAAAGATTTCCTTGGGAGGAAAGTGATGGCGAACCTAAACAGCATGATAAAAAGTAGAGACATCACCCTGCCAACAAAAGTCCGCATGGTCAAAGCAATGGTATTCCCAGTAGTCATGTATGGCTGTGAGAGTTGGACTATAAGGAAGGCCGAGCGCCGAAGAATAGATTCTTTTGAACTATGGTGCTGGAGGAGACTCTTGAGAGTCCCTTGGACTGCAAGAAGAACAAATCAGTCAATCCTCAAAGAAATCAACCCTGACTGTTCCCTGGAAGGCCAGATAATGAAACTGAAGCTCAAATACTTTGGCCACCAAATGAGAAGGGAGCACTCACTGGAGAAGACCCTGATGCTGGGAAAGATTGAAGGTCAAAGAAGATGGGGACGGCAAAGGATGAGATGGTTGGAGAGGTTCCTAGATGCAACAAGCATGAAGTTGAGCAGGCTTCGGAGGGCGGCGGAGGACCGGAGGGCCTGGCGGGAGCTGGTCCATGGGGTCGCGAAGAGTCGGACTCGACTGTGCGACTGAACAACAACAACAACTGGCGGAGCCCAGGCTCGCAGGTCCCTCAAACACAGTCCGTGCCAACTACCTGAGACAGCCGCAGAGGGCCGAAGAGTCAACTGGGATAATGAGGAATGTTGCTAGCACTTTATTTTGTTTGAATTTTAATATTCATATTGTATCTATTAATGTACGTGATTTTACTTGTTTGTTGTCAGCAAGCTGCCATTCTGTTTTCTGTGACCTCTGTGTACATATCCTTTCCCTGTTGCACCCGGCTTGGTTTCTATCATCCTACTCCTGCGTTGGAATGCAAAAGATAACTGCTGGAGGTTGTGTGGGGGAGAAGATGCTGTAATGCTTGCCTATTGCTTTTCCCATGAGTACTGCACCTGTGTTTTGTCTGATGTTCTGCCTGGTTCCCATGGACTGGGCGCGCAACTGTTTGATTAGCCCGCCAGCGGGAAAGCTATTCATTGGATCTGTATCTGTTTGAAGTTCCTTTATTATGCTTGACCTAACTGTGTATCCCCAGTTCTAACAAAGAACGTGTTTGAGTATGTCGTCAACGCTTTGAAATAAATTTTGCTTTTCTTAAAACGTGGATTTATTCTCGATGCTTGGGGATCCAACATATTGTTAGAACTCTCTTTTTCCTATCGTTCCGAATCTGGCGAGATCATGAGCGGAATTGAGGGAAACCTACCTACCACGGAGGGGGACTCTGGATCGGTCCCACAAACCTCCGCGTCTTTGGTGTTCACGACTGCAGCCTCGATGGAGGGTGCTGTGGGGGGAGCGATTCCCCGCCTGCCTGCACATCTGTCTTGGCCGCCTCCGACCCCTTCGCAATGGGGTCCGCGGAAGACTCACCAGCAGGATGATTGGACTATGTACAACACCCAGGGCACCCGTGAGGTGTACTCCCGTCGGGGGAGCGGATTACGTGAGAGTCTATTTGACAAGGGATTGTTCCCGGAGCCGGGGGCTACCTCGGAGAAGGGGAGCCCCGAGCGGGACCTCGAGGAGTGGATGTTCGAGCCGTCGGGACCGCGGGGCCACGCAGGAGATGAGGAGGGCACCGGAGTCTTCCCAACGGAAGAGGACTATGACCCACCCCCGGACTACCGCCCTCGGGACCCCATCCCGGAAGAAACCACCGGGGAACGACTAGCAGAACTGGAAGACTCGGTGAGAGACTTGTTGCGGGCATTCCAGGATGTGATGGAAGGTCTGCCGGGAATGATGGACGTTCGAATGGCTAATTTCCTTGACGCACACGCCGCGCAGCAACAAGTTGCTCCTGCACCGGGATTTCCCGCGCCGCCGATGCCTGCTCAACCGCTGATGGGACCTCCGCTGCAAGCACCGGGAGTTCCCGCGCAGCAGGTACCTGTGCAGCCGCCGGTGAGACCGCCTCTGCAAGTGCCTGTGCAACCGCCGATGCCGGGGGGTCCGCCGGTGCCGGGTCTGCCGCCGCCGCTGAGGCCAATGCCAGCGGGGCCACCGGTTGTACCGGGTTTCCCTCCCAGGGGAGTTCCGGGTCAGCTGGGCCCGTTGGTAAGGCCTCCACGGCCCAGACCCAAGGATCTACTGGAGGCTACCTTCGACGGCAACCCAGATGAACTCGCTTTCTTCACGGTGAGGGTGCATAAATTCGTAGAAGAGAGTCGACACCTGTTCCGAAATGAAGCTGGTCTTATTGATGTCATCTCGGCAAGACTGAAAGGAGACGCCGCCACATGGTATGTTGGACTGCACAATGACCGCGGTCCGGAACTTTTGAATTTGCGAGCATTCATGTGGGCGCTGCGGGCGAGATTTGAAGATGTCAACGCGAGTCAAAGAGCTAAAGCGTTTCTCCGCACCTACCGCCAGAACAAGAAGTCGGTTCGCGAGTACACTCTGGAATTCCACAAGCAAGCAGCAAAGCTCCGAGACTACCCTGATCATATATTGGCTGAGATGTATCGCTTGGGTCTCAACGCAGACATCCGAGAAACGGTTCTGAAAACTGTCAACCCTGTCTCCCTGATGGCCTGGACCCAGGAAGCTGAAAATGCTGAAGACCGGCTCACCACCATCAAACTCGACCTGGCTGCTACGACCAACAGACCCGCCGCTGCCGGTGCCTCCAAACCCAAGCCTCAACGCCTGTCGGAATCAGCACGAGAACTACGTATGAAGATGGGGCTCTGTCTCAAGTGCGGGGAGAAGGGGCACTTCGCTGTGGATTGTGGCAGCCGTAAAGTACAGCCGCCTACTCCAAGCCCGAAGACACCGCTGACGGGGAAGAAGGGGATGGCTAACCCGCGTTTCTCCAAAGCTCTGCAGGCGGCCCAAGGTTCGGAGGGAAACGAACCGTCTGCTGCCGAGTCAGAAGAAGAGGTGGTGCCTGAAACGGCGGAAAACGACAACGGCCTGTTGTGAGAGGCGCAAAACGACAAGGCCATTCTAATGCTGCGCCCAAGGTGGTGAGAGAAACCCCTTCCCTATTTTTCGTGACTGTCTCATTAATGAATCCGCTCCTGGGAACCCACGTTAGGGTGAGAGCGTTGATTGATTCTGGGTGTGGGAGGGATCTCATCAGCCCTAGAGTGTTATTGGCACTGGAAGCGGGGATAGTCCCCTTGAAGTCTCCCATCATTTTTACCCAGATGGATGGGGCACCCATGGAACCTTGTACGCACGAGACTATGGCTTTGCGGTTGGGGGCGGGCGATCATTGGGAATCCAGATCCTTCATTGTCACCCCTAAATCGCAGTTCGACTTAGTACTGGGGAGTCCCTGGTTGTTTACCCATGACCCTTACATCTTGTGGGAAGAAGGGGTTGTCAAATTTGTGTCGGCTAAGTGTGTAGATCACTGCTGGGTGGACTCGTGGGGGGACCAGCCGACCGCGCAGTTCCCCTGCGGCACTTTGCAACCGGAAGAGTTAGCTTCTTTGCCTCGAGAGTATAGAGACTTGGCGAAAGTGTTTGGCGAAGAGGAAGCTAACGAATTGCCCCCCCATCGCTCGACTGACTGTGCTATTGAACTTTTGCCTGACTGTAAATTGCCCAAAGGTAAAATTTATGCGATGGGGCCGGCTGAGAAAGTTGAACTGCGGAACTTTATTGATAAAAACCTAGCCCGAGGTTTCATTCGCCCGGCTTCCTCCCCTTTCGCCGCGCCTGTACTTTTCCGAAAGAAGAAAGACGGGGGGCTTAGATTGTGCACTGATTATAGGGGTCTGAACGCTGTTTCTTTGTCCAATGCTTACCCCCTCCCGCTAATCAAGGACTTGGTAGCTGAGGCCACCAAGGGCAAAATCTTCTCGAAACTTGACCTCCGAGATGCATATTTCCGTGTGCGCATCCGGGAGGGGGATGAAAGTAAGACTGCATTTAATACCCCTTTGGGGCAGTTTGAGTACCTCGTTATGCCCTTCGGCCTTCAAGGGGCTCCGGGGGTCTTCATGAACCTAATCAATGAGGTCCTACATGAGTTCCTATTCAAAGGAGTGGTCCTTTACCTTGATGATGTGTTGCTGTACTCTCAGGACCTCCCGTCGCATATTAAATTGGTGCGCCAGGTCCTTAAGCGACTTTATGAACACCACTTGTTTGCAAAGCTGTCAAAATGTGAATTCCACAAGACATGCATTGACTTTTTGGGATATCGCATCTCTGGGGGGAAGGTTGAAATGGACCCTGCTAAAATTCAAGCTGTACTTGACTGGGAGCCCCCCAGGACCCGCAAACAATTGCAAATGTTCCTCGGATTTGCCAATTTTTACAGAAATTTCATCCAGAATTTCGCTCAAATTGCCCTTCCCCTGACTGATTTGCTAAAGACCAAGGGGAAGGGTTTTGATGCTACGAAACCAGGCGCCCCGCTTAAATGGTCCCCTGCTTGCGCAGAGGCTTTTGAGAAACTTAAACTGATGTTCACCTCTGAGCCAGTGCTGGCGCGCCCTGATGAAACTAAAAAATTCATTGTCCAAACTGATGCCTCGGATGTGGCAATGGGGGCCGCTATTTTGCAAGAAGGGGAAGATGGTCGTTTACATCCCCTCGCATTTGTGTCTAAAAAGTTTTCTGACGCTGAACGAAACTGGGGGATTTGGGAGAAGGAGGCGTCAGCGATCCGGCTGGCTCTCTCCACTTGGAGGCAGTGGTTGGAGGGGGCGCAACTGCCATTTGAAGTCTGGACTGACCATAAGAATTTGGAGATGCTGAAATCCCCCCGTTCTCTCAACGCTAAACAACTTCGTTGGGCGGACTTCTTTGCTAAGTTTCGATTCACTCTTCGTCATTTCCCTGGGGCGGCTAATTCCCTGGCTGACGCGCTTTCACGCCTCCCACAACATGACAGTCAGCGTGAGATCATCATGGACTCTGTTTTTTCCCCCTCCCATCTGGGGGGGGCCGTGGTCACCCGGGCGCAAGCGCGAGCGATTCCACACTCTGATGAGACTTCGCCTTCCCTTTTCCCTGTGGGGGGGGGGCCTGGGTCCAGAAATATCTGTCTGTTTTTACTGCTGAGGATGATGCCTCCCTGAAAACGTTGCCGGATTGTGTCCGTAGCCCTGAAGGTCTGATTTATTCTGGAGACAAACTGTATGTGCCTCTTTCAATGAGGAGGGAGGTGATGGAGTCTGCTCACGGTTCGAAACTGGCAGGGCATTGGAGTTTTGTTAAATCTCTACAACTCATCCGCAGACAGTTCTGGTGGCCACAAATGCGCAAAGACCTCTTGATGTTTGTTCGGTCCTGCCAAACCTGTGCCCTGACTAAACCCAGGATGGGCAAGCCTCCTGGTCTTCTGCAGCCACTCCCTACTCCATCGAGACCGTGGGAAGTGGTGTCCATGGACTTTATTACTGACCTCCCTGCGAGCAAAGGGAACACTGTTATTTGGGTGGTTGTTGATTTGTTAGTAGTACAGCAACACATAAGCCGCCCTGAGCCAGCCTTGGTTGGGAGGGCGGGATAAAGATTTAATAAATAAAATAAATAAATAATAAATAACGCTGTATTGTAGATGGACTGAAACTTCCGGTGCCTCGTGTCACTGGTACGTAAGAGATGGTCAGTCTCCAAGGGACACAAAGAAAATAGCTAACCAAATAGAGACTTGATGGCAACAAGCTGCTATCTCTACCTCCTCCTCACCAAGCCTTGCCTTCTGACCTTTTAACAAAATGCTAGAGGAGGAATACACCCTGATGGATCTAAGAGGTACGTAGTTAATGCCTAGAGGAGGGGATTGTGCCTCCTACTCAAAGAAGTGATGGTATGGCCTCTTTTGAAATAACCCTCATTGGGAACTTGAGGATTTAAGTGACTATTGGCTGGTTCTTTTCAAGGTGAGATGTTCAAGCAGACAGCACCTATTCAGCTCCAAGTGATCTTGGCTGAAACCAGGGCTATTTGGGGGGCAGGAACGGAGTTCCGGCTGGCTTCATAGTTGGACACGCCCACTACAGCCAAAACCTCTGCGTGGGTGGCTACGGAGGGAAGGCCTGGAGAGTGACACCCCCCCAGTGACTCTGAGGCAGGCGGGCCGGGGGGGCCTGGAAGGATCAGGGAGGCATTTAAATGCCTCCCTGTGCCTTCCCCGGCCTGTCCAAGGGCCGGCTTGCCTGGGCTTCCTGCAGCTGCGGGGGACCCAGGCAAGCCAAGAGAAGGCATGGGGTGTGGCCCAATATGTGAATGAGCTGTGCTGTCAGGGGTGTGGCCTATTATGCTAATGAGTTCCTGCTGGGCCTTTTCTACAAAAAAAGCCCTGGCTGAAACTAACTGTTCAGACTCATTTCGGTTGAGTTTCACACCTGATTTTGAGCAGAAACTGCTTCAGTGACTCTGATAGATGATCTTCACTGAGAATGGGACTGTAGAAGTGGATCCCTGGCCCCGGTCACATGGCAAAGTTGCCACGGGAGAGGCACGGATGGTGGGCGGATTATCCGGGCACGATCACACCCCAACATCTGGGAAGTGGAACGCACCCGTGGCTTACCGCTGACAATGTGCGTTAAAAAACTAGTACCTCCAAGGTACTAGTAAACGTTTGCCACAGGCTGCCTCCAGACGCCCGTGGTGTGATTGCGCCAGTCCATGGCATTCCCCTCCAGTCCCTCGTTTACCTGCCGGTGCCGAGGGAAGGGCCCGTGGTGTGTCGCCAGCGCGTCTGATCGCGTAATCGCGGATCAAACTGCACCGGGGTAATTAGCCACGCCTCCCCCCCGCAATATCCGGGCCGTGTGGCTGGGGCCCCTGTTCACTTTGTTTGACCTCTTAGCCACAATCAGTACTTTTGGCCTATGATGGATGGTTTCAGGTTTTGTTCACCAGGAGCCTCAGTCAATCATTTTCAAATGGTAGACTGGAATGTTGAAAAGGGGGAAAAAAGGAGGAGTTTAAGCAGTTTACCTGCTGGTCAACTAAAAGAGTTATGGGTTGTTGCATTTTGACGGTAGAAGGGTAAGGAGATTAGGCAGGGAGTCTATTATGGAATTAAGGTATTTTGAAGACAGGTAGGGATTGGGTGCTGTTCCTGTTAAAAACCATTAAAAGCCTTTCTGTCTAAATCAGTCAAACAAGAAACTTGCTTTGCAACTCTTACACTGTCTCACTCTGGGTGTCACTGTGACATTTGCTTTCAGATGCTGTTGCTCTTTTAGCTGTTTTGGGGTTTACTGCTGTTTGTTGTTTGGCAGCTATAATTGCTTTCTTGTATTGTATTTACTGCATTGTACATACTGCTATAGATATGTGGTACATGATATCTGAAACAAACAATACATATAATACTTACTTTGTGACTGCCAGTGCTTTGACTGTTATTTTCCCATCTGGTAATAAGATCGGTCCTTTATATCTAAAAGTATTACAGTCTCCATAACCCACTCTCCTAAACAGTTCTGGTTTACTTCCATCTACAGTGTAATATATGGCAACATCAGGGGTATCTGCAATCACATGCACACACAAAATAAACTTTTAAAAAATGCCTCCCATCTTTTCCAAAAAGACAGCATGGTTAATTAAAAAAACCCCCTTAATAATCACAAATTTAAGCCACAAGAACATTTACTGCAAGAAAATTAGTACTCTCAAGCACTCAAAAAAAGTTAAATCCTAATACATATTTACATATATCTTAGCAGAAGGAAAGTAGACCAGAGACAAAGAGAAATACTTCACCAAATTTTACCATGGACATATGTAAATTACAGGGGAGTAGATCAGAATGGCTCAGAGGACTGTTTTCACCAAATTTAAGGAAGTAGCATAAAAGCCACCAGTTAATGTTTTATATGATACATCTGTTGTTCTTTCAAAACATTTCAGTACTAATGAGGAAAGCAAAAACCGTTCCATGTAAAGCAAACACATAACAACCTACCATTTTTAAATTTCCAAAGTACAGCCCTCAAAAATTGAAAAGTGTTTACCAAATTGGACTGGATTTACAAATAGAAATATAATGTGAATCTTCAGAACACAAAACTTCTAACATTCCCTTTCACTAATGAAAACATTAAAAAATCCTTCAAACTTATGTTCAAGTGTTTAACAAGTAACTTTATTATTAATTATATAGGCTTCTTCCGACTTTGATGAAACTATTAATTTAAATACAGTCAAAATATATTTGCGGGATGGAGTCAGGCATCAAAGAAGATGGTGAAATGGGAAGACTGGCAGTGTGTACAAACACAGAGAAACAACTTGAGCATACATTCATAGTTGTTGCATATACCTGATTTGATTTCTACAAATGTATTTGTGTCTATTTCATGTTTAGCTTTGCCAGCTGTTGGGATTCGAAGTGGTATTATTTGAGGTGCTAAAATAGAGCCGGCAGTCATTGTTTCCTAGAGATTAAAAATAAAGTAAAATATATTATTTTAACCATGATTATTGAAACAGAGGAGTGCAGTAACAAATATACAGTTCCTTTGAATCTTAGTCTACTGTGAAACTGAATTCCTGTTTGACTCCCAGTTCAGTAAACTGAGTCTTATCATGCTTGCTGGATTATTTTCATGGTGGGACTGCATATACTGTATCTAGCAATTATTTTGATTTTTGATGTATGTTCATAAAATTTTGTCTTACCTGACTGAGTATAATGTGTCTGTATGCTGAAAACCTGTTATATGTTATTCTGTTCTGTAATGAAAATGAATAAAAGTATTTTGGTTAAAAAAAAATCTAGCAATTTTTTTGTTTAAAAGCATTTATCTGTAAAGAAATATCACAAGCACGCAAAACCCTATACCCAGAATAAAACTTTAATTGGTCTTAAAGGTAAGGGAATTCAAGTGACAGAATGCACACAAAAATCCCAAATAGAAATCAGCAGCTGGGGGCCTGTGCCAGAAACTCAGTCTTATGCTGCCATATTTTCTTGATACGCCAGTGTAACACTTATGATTTAGATCTGAGAGTGATCTAAAGTGGGTTTCTGAGAAGGCAATGTAGGTTATACCCCTAAATGAAGGAATTCCTGCTAGAATGCAGCTAGATATTGGAGCTGCAGTCTAAATCATTCCAGAATCTACCTATCCCCAGACCGCAACTCAAGTTCCTTTAGGTGACTCCTTTACAGTCCTGAAGATTTACAGAGACTAAAGGGATCCTTTATATGACCATGCAACTATACGCCAATTTACTTGCCTTATCCTCCCCTTTTATGGGCTACGACCACTTCAGGTAAAGCGGAACCCGGTTAAGGCAGCGCCTTTAGCACCTCAAGAAACCCCGGACAGCCACCCCCGATACGGCGCCTCTTCTATTCAGAGACTGCAGGAAGGCCCGAGCAGCCCCAGGCTGAGCCCACCTCGCAGGGCTGTTGTGAGACTCATGAGATTTTCCGTTGCGAGGAGGAGGAAGGGCGAGGCACAGGCCAGGGCCGGCGAGGCTGTCGACCTTCCCCTGCAGCCGCCCGCCCCGTCCCCGGCGTCACACCTGCAAAAGTCGCTCGCTCGCCTGCCAAACCCCGCGGTCGATGCTCCCGAGGAAGGCAGAAGGGCGCCGACGCCGTCTCCAAGGCGACCGGAGCTTCTGGCGACGCCGGCTGGTGACGTCATCTGCGCGCCGGGGCTGCGTACGCCGGGACGGCCGGGGCTCGTCGTCATGGCGGAGGCGAAGGCGCCGGAGCCGCTGGAGATCGAGAGCAGGTAACCCCGGCTCCTCGGAGGGCTCGTCGGCCTCCGTCCGTTTCCAGAGAGCGGGCTTCCGTTGTGACGTTTGGCCCTCCCGGTGCCACTTGGAGGTTGCCGACCTCCAGGTGGGCAACCGAGACAAACAGTCGTGCTATAGCTACTAAGAACTTATTTTACGTAAATCTCTATGCAGTTCACTGATATTACTTATAACATTAATAGATACCAAAGATTTCTGCAGTGCATATAATTCCTCTCTGATGAATAAAGTGCTTAGGTCAAATAACTGTCCATATAGACACTCTGAACATCTTGGGATGTAAAGGACAATTTAATTTGCTTTGACAGTTATTGAAAAGGTAATGTTATTAGAAGAAAGTTAATTCTAAGAGAACAATAGGTGAAAGAAATGTTACCGGTAGATTATGACTAAAAGATAAGGGAAAATAGAAGAAAATTTAAGAAATGGGCTGGAGGTTGGAGCACTGTGGGAAGCCAAGGGGTGGGGAGAGTAACAGAAGAAAGGATGTATAACAACTGGTAATATAATTTGTATTTGACTTAAATATATCCTAATTGTTTTTGAAGACATACTCTGAACTTTTAATTGTCACCTTCTTCATCCATTCAAAGTTCTATGTATCAGTCTCCTCTGAAGCAATTCCCAAAGTCATCCAGCAATCATAAAGACTTAGTTTACTGAACTCAACTGAGACTCAAACAGGAATTCAGTTTCACAGTAGGCTAAGATTCAAAGGAACTGTATACCATTTCGAATCCCAACCCACAAAAGCCCCAATAAATGTGTTTCATCATATTTATAGAACTTTGCCACATTGAACTTTGCACCTTTAAGTCCAACAAAGGTTTATTCAAGGTATGAGCTTTCATATGCATGCACACTTCGGACAGTTATTTGACCTAAGCATTTTATTCATCACAGAGGAACTGCAGGCTGTGGAAGGTCAGTAGTTTAGCAGTTCGAGACCCGGGTGCCGCATGATGGAGTGAGCTCCCATCTCTAGTTCCAGCTCCTGCCAACCTAGCAGTTCGAAAGCAAGAAATTGCAAGTAGATTAATAGGTACCACTTCAGTGGGAAGGAAACAGCGTTCCGTGTGCCTTGGTGTTTAGTCATGCCGGCCACATGACCATGGAAACGTCTTCGGACAGCGCTGGCTCTTCGGCTTGGAAACAGAGATGAGCACCGCAACCCTAGAGTCGGACTTGACTGGCTTTCGAGCAAGGGCACCTTTACCTTTACCTAAACTTCTTTGGTATCTATTAATGTTATAAGTAATATAAGTGAATTGCATAGACATTTACATAAAATAAGTTCTTAGTGATTATGTCACAGTTGTTTGTATTGGTTGATCAACCTCCAGGTGGGGGTTGGAGAACTCCCGGAATTATAACTGATCGCTGGTCTGCATATATATAGCTTAGTTTTTAAGGAAGCTTCTTAGGGGCATCAATTTGCAGACTACAGCTTCTTGTGCAAGATTTTTTGCAGCTGCTTGTAAAATTCACAAAGATATTCTATGCAGTACACCAACATTTTTAACAATATTCATTTTAATCTGTAATCTATTTTAAATCATTTTTATGTAACCCATCTATTTATTGTTTTATTTTTGGTTAATGTATAATTCTGGCATATTGTGTATTGTGGTTTGTGCTGGTTGTTGACCGTATGAATAAAGGGACTAGAGCGTATTTACTTAATTAAAACATTTATTCCACTTCTGTAGAAAATGGCTGCTCTGGAAAGTGGACTGTATGGCATGAGACCCTACTGAGGTCCCGCCCTCTCCTTAAGCCCACATTCCCAGGTTCCACCCTCGGATCACCTGGTATTTCCAAACCCGGAGAGTTGGCAACCTTAGGACACAGGCGATGCGATGTCAGCCCTCCTCCCCAAGACCTGCTTTGCCATGGGGTATGCTGCATTGGCCGCATCCTGGAGGCTGGGAGCCCTGGGGTGTGCAGGCTTTCCTGGAGGGCTAACTACTGTGTAGTTAGGCCACACACCCCTAATGTAGCCAATCCTAATGAGTTTCTGCTGTTGGGTGTGACCTATTATGCAAATGAGTTCCTGCTGGGTGTGGCCAACTTGGGAGCCAGCCGGAACTCCGTTCCTGTGCGTTCCTGCCCAAAAATAGCCCTGGTCCACACTCCCTTTATCAAAGCATCATCCCGATAATTCCATAGCCCTATTTCCTTGTGTAAAAATGCTCTCTTGAACAATTCAGCTTTGTATAGTTTGCAGAATGCCGGGTGACTTTGGGCGAGGGGGAGGGAGAGGATGGGTGCAGTAGCAGAACCCAGCTGAATTCGGTATTGGCCTTGCCGTGTAACAAGCAGATTCTTACATCTGCCCGTCCAACACTCCCCAGTTCTAAACTTCAGCCAGCATCACTGGTGCATGAAGTTTGCTACAGTGGAGGGAAGAGACCAGAGTGACAGCCGAGGTGTACAGTGTGCCTCCTGCATCTGAGTATTTTTTGCTTGCTTGTTCTACTTTGCCCAGGATCCTTGAGCTGTGCCATCAATTTCCCCACGGTATCACGGACCAGGTGATTCAGAATGATATGCCCCACATGGAAGCTCAGCAGCGGGCCATGGCCATTAACAGGCTACTCTCTATGGTAAGAACTTTCCAGCTCCATGAGTTTCTAAACTGGGGGACGTGCTGAATCTCTCGAACTGGGAAATAGTCTAAAATGCTACATTCCAGGGGGTAGAGGGTAGGCCTGTTAGTCTACTGCAGCTGAAATAACAAAGAGCCTTCTGACACTTGAAAGACTACCAGATTTAGTGTGATACAAACTTTCACAGCTGAAGGCAGCTATGTCAGATACAGGAAGTGTTTGTTTGGTATTTATTTATACTCTGCTTTCCTCCTTAGTGGAGAGTCAAAACTGCTTATGACATTGTTCTGTTCTCCCCCGTTTTATTCCCACAACAACAAGCCAGCTGGGTCGGTCAGGCTGAGACCTGAGATAGAGTGACTGGCCCTGGCTCACCCAGCAAGCTTTTGTGGCAGAATGGGCATTCATACCAGGTTCTCTAGCTGAACTGCAGGCTGTGGAAGGTCGGTAGTTCAGCAGTTCAAGACCCGAGCGTGCCGCATGACGGAGTGAGCTCCCGTCTCTAGTTCCAGCTCCTGCCAACCTAGCAGTTCGAAAGCAAGAAATTGGAAGTAGATAAATAGGTACCGCTTCGGTGGGAAGGGAACAGCGTTCCGTGCACCTTGGTGTTTAGTCATCCTGGCCACATGACCACGGAAACGTCTTTGGACAGCGCTGGCTCTTCGGCTTGGAAACGGAGATGAGCACCGCAACCTTAGAGTCGGATTCGACTGGCTTTCGAGCAAGGGAACCTTTACCTTTTACCTAAAGAACTGTACTGTGGACATGATTATTTGTTCATTTGTTTCAGTGGGTGGGATTTGGCTTTTGTCCATGGAGGTCACTGGGGCACATGGCTGCTTGCCTGACTTGTTACTTCTGTGGAAGTTTGTTTAGTAGTTTGTGAGTGCTGTCCTAAGTACATCCTGATCCGAATCGCTCAGGCTAGCCTGATGTCCTCAGATCTTGGAAGCTAAGCAGGGTCGCCCCTGCTCAGTATTTGGAAGGGAGACCAAGGAATACCAGGGTCCCAATGTTCCCTCTAAGCTGTGGAGTCTTGTGAGCAAAAAGTCTACTTTGTGAGCTACTGGCATTAAAGTTGTGAACCAGCGATTTGGCTACTGCACAAATTAGTTTGCTCTGGAGCCATCCCTTCCTGAGCTAAGACAAAAATTGTGAGCTGGAGGCTAAAAAACTGATGAGCTAGCTCACACTAACTCAGCTTAGAGGGAACACTGGTCATGGCGCAGAAGCAGGAAATGGCAGACCACCTCTGAACATCTCTTGCCTTGAAAACCCTATGGGGTCACCAAAGTCAGCTGTGGCTTGACAGCAAGCACCCCCCCCCCCAAAAGCACACGTAAGCATAGTTGCACCGTTCTAATGCCGTTGAGGGAACTGGGCTTTGAAAGGTGTAACTCTGCTTAGGAGTGCAGTGTTTATAGCTGAGCTTGAGGTACTCTGAATAAATTGAGCCACATTTATAATATTGTAGAAGTTGTCTGTTGCCTTTGCCAAGGAAATCAGGCAGATTTTAATACACATTTTTATACTGCTATGTTGCAACATTTTTGAAAACGCTGCATTTATTGAACAAGGTGACGGAATATATATAAACCCAGCCAGTCCTAAAATAATTTTGCTAGGGTATCTGAAAGGACTAGTTACACTTTCAGATCTCAAACTTGTAATGTATTTACTGATAGTTGTTAAAATCTGTACTGGTATATACTGGGGCGGGATAGAAGTGTCACTTTGTTTTAAGCCTGTTTTTGGAGGATCTGCCCTGTTGCTTTGTTGTTTTCCTTATTACAGGAGAAACCAAATTGTCTCACAAGTCAAAAATTGATCTTATTTATGCTTATTTATACTGCCTTATTCAGGCTACACTGGGCATTGCGAGAAGGCGGGATATAGCTGTTCTAAATAAATAAATGTAATAATCTGGATCAAAAAGTTCCACTAACATTTCTTTTTTAGGGTTATAGTTGTAAATTGTTCTGTTTTAATTATGTCAGACTGGTCATTGAGCAGTTTGTTATTTTGTTTCTTTCTTTAATCAAGTGATTGTTAAGGGGGAAAGCTTTTGGAACCAAATCTTGCCAAGCAATACAATTGCATCTATTTTTTTTTTTAATTTTGTAAATTTTTGATGGACTCTGTTGCTTCCTAGTGTGAAAACAGTAGAGTAAAAATAGGGGAAAATGTTAACATGGTATTTCTTTTTTCTTTTAGGGACAACTGGATCTTCTGAGAAGCAGCACTGGCCTTCTCTATAGAATCAAGGAATCTCAAAATGCTGGGTAACCTTCAGTGTTTAAGCATTGGGGCTCTTTCTGCTTTTGGTGCAGTGGTTAAGTGTGCGGACTCTAATCTGGGAGAACGGGGTTTGATTCCCCACTCCTCCACTTGCACCTGGCTGGATGACCTTGGGCAAGCCATAGGTCTGATAAGAGCTGTTCTTGAAAAAGAGCAGTTTCTGTCAAGAGCTCTCTCAGCCCCACCTGCCTCACAAGGTGTCTGTTGTGGGGAGGGGAAGGGAAAGGAGTTTGTAAGCCGCTCTGAGACTCCTTTGGGTAGTGAAGGGCGGGGTATAAATCCAATCTCTTCTCTTCTTCTTCTTTGCTTATGCAATGGTGGTGAACCAGCAGAATGCAGCAATCAGTTTCTCTGTATGGCTGAATGGAGCAGAAGGGGCAGGCAGTGCCAGTTGTACTCTGTGGCCCTTGTCTGTCTGTCTGTCTATCTCAGGGCTCCCAAGTACTTACCTTAATTCGTCGGGGGATGTATAGTTCTTCGCGGGACCATTCCCACAGGGAAAACACAGACGCTGCACTATTCTGTCGCCCAGACGTGATGTAGGCACGTAGCCGGGCAACACTCTACCAATGGGGCTGGAAACGCGATGGTACCATCGAGTTTCCAGTCCCATTACCAGAGCGTCGCCCAGCTACATGCCTACATCATGTCTGGGCGACGGAATAGTGCACCGCCTGTGTTACAAGCAAGAATCTTCTGGCGGGGAAGCATGTGTCCCCCACCGGTTCGTAGGTATGTACTGAGGAACCCTAGTCTGTCTATCTATCTATCTATCTTGCTGACTGCCCAAAGCTGCCACAGGGTAGAGGGAGTTAAATTGCCAAGGAAAAGGGTGGGTTTATATAATTGATTTAAATTAAATTTCCCATTAACACTTTTTGATATAGACATTGTGCAAATCTAATCATTAAATTATTACTATTTTTATTTATTTATTTATTTATTATTATTATTATTATTATTATTATTATTATTAGGATTTATATCCCACCCTCCCCTTGAACGGGCTCAGGGCGGCTCACATATTTATAGGCACCGTGTGCCAAGTCCACATAAAACAATTAAAAACAAATTAAACCAGTAATACAATAAACATTTAACAATTAAAGTGCTCGCAGTGTTGATTGTTCATTCAGTAAATTAAAGGTGGCGTGCTATAAGATGTAATACTAAAATCCCGATTCAGCGGTATTCCAGCATCCCGCCGCGCTGTGGCTCGATCTCCATGCAGGGCCACGGATCTTGATAGTGATAATGGTTGGTGGGTAATGGTGGGCGGCTCCTAGTTGAGAGCCTGGTGGAAGAGCTCCGTCTTGCAGGCCCTGCGGAATTGGACAATGTTATTTTGCAGCTAAATATAGCATTTACCATCTAGAGGGGTATAATCTGCATAATCGTCAGATAATTTGATTCTTCCTAATTTTAGAAAACAGTGTGTTTTATTAAATGAATGTTTTTGCTTTTTAGCTATATCAAGGTGCAGTGCTTTAGAAATGTTTAGAAATAAATTGCACACAACGTAGGACGCAATATACTTTCTTAGACGAAACAGTCTTAATCCGCGTGTCACCGGTTCATGCCTTCATCAGTCTCCCAGGTTCTCAAGGCCAGACTTGGTGCACTTATTTATTTATTTCATTTATACCCATGGCCTTGTAGTTTGGCTGTAAGTTGACAATATAAAAACAACTAGGCTGTGCCTGGCCTGATCTGGATGGCTCAGACTAGCCTGACTTTGTCAGGCCTCAGAAGCGAAGCAGGATGTGATGCTCTAGCAATGGGGCTGGAAACGCGATGGTACCATCGAGTTTCCAGTCCCATTACCAGAGCGTCGCCCAGCTACATGCCTACATCATGTCTGGGCGACGGAATAGTGCACCGCCTGTGTTACAAGCAAGAATCTTCTGGCGGGGAAGCATGTGTCCCCCACCGGTTCGTAGGTATGTACTGAGGAACCCTAGTCTGTCTATCTATCTATCTATCTTGCTGACTGCCCAAAGCTGCCACAGGGTAGAGGGAGTTAAATTGCCAAGGAAAAGGGTGGGTTTATATAATTGATTTAAATTAAATTTCCCATTAACACTTTTTGATATAGACATTGTGCAAATCTAATCATTAAATTATTACTATTTTTATTTATTTATTTATTATTATTATTATTATTATTATTATTATTATTAGGATTTATATCCCACCCTCCCCTTGAACGGGCTCAGGGCGGCTCACATATTTATAGGCACCGTGTGCCAAGTCCACATAAAACAATTAAAAACAAATTAAACCAGTAATACAATAAACATTTAACAATTAAAGTGCTCGCAGTGTTGATTGTTCATTCAGTAAATTAAAGGTGGCGTGCTATAAGATGTAATACTAAAATCCCGATTCAGCGGTATTCCAGCATCCCGCCGCGCTGTGGCTCGATCTCCATGCAGGGCCACGGATCTTGATAGTGATAATGGTTGGTGGGTAATGGTGGGCGGCTCCTAGTTGAGAGCCTGGTGGAAGAGCTCCGTCTTGCAGGCCCTGCGGAATTGGACAATGTTATTTTGCAGCTAAATATAGCATTTACCATCTAGAGGGGTATAATCTGCATAATCGTCAGATAATTTGATTCTTCCTAATTTTAGAAAACAGTGTGTTTTATTAAATGAATGTTTTTGCTTTTTAGCTATATCAAGGTGCAGTGCTTTAGAAATGTTTAGAAATAAATTGCACACAACGTAGGACGCAATATACTTTCTTAGACGAAACAGTCTTAATCCGCGTGTCACCGGTTCATGCCTTCATCAGTCTCCCAGGTTCTCAAGGCCAGACTTGGTGCACTTATTTATTTATTTCATTTATACCCATGGCCTTGTAGTTTGGCTGTAAGTTGACAATATAAAAACAACTAGGCTGTGCCTGGCCTGATCTGGATGGCTCAGACTAGCCTGACTTTGTCAGGCCTCAGAAGCGAAGCAGGATCAGCCCTGGTCAGTAATTGGTAGGGAAACCACCATGGAAATCCTGGCCCATTACGCAGAGCCAGGTAATGGCTAAACCACCTCTAGATGTCTCTTGCCTTGAAAACCGCATGGGTTGCCACAAGTCAGCTGTGACTTGGCAGCACTTTTCTTGTGTAGGAGACAGTGTACACCAGCATGCTTAATCAAACAGGAGGAAGGGAAGGATTTAGTGTGAAAAAGTATGGAGCTGGTCTAACTTTAAAGCTCCAGCTGAGATTGTCCATTTCTATTCCATATTTATCAGAAGTACTTTATGTCAAGTGTGCATATTTATTCCCCATGGGCTCTGTCATCCGTAACCACCTCACTGTGCATACGAAAAGCTCTGTTCCTAAATGACCAGCTAGTATGAAGGCCTTATTTTTGTTACATGCTAGCTGGTTGTTTTAGCTCCTTTTTGGCGGTTCTAAAATGATCCAATCCACCAGGCACTTTACAAACTAACTGCTGCTCCACTTTGTCTTTTGCAGTAAAATGAAGGGATCTGACAATCAAGAGAAATTGGTCTATCAAATTATAGAGGATGCAGGCAACAAAGGTATTGGAGTTAGGGGCTCACTTTCTTCCTCCCATTCCTGGTGACCCACTCACCTGTGCACTTCACGAAAGCACTCACCATCTGTTGCTCTTTGATTATCCACGGCTATTATAGATTTTATTTAAATGGTTAGAAGCCTGCCTTTTTCCTTAATGTTCAAGGACAAGAATTAAAAAGCAGAATTGCAGTAAGACGTTTCATTAAGAATGGAGCACCGTCGTGCCATTAGAACTGGATGTCACAAGAAACGTATGAAATGCCCTAAGCCAGTGGTGGCGAACCTATGGCACAGGTGCCAGAGGTGGCACTGAGAGCCCTCTCTGTGGGCACGCGTGCCATTGCCCCAGCCAGGCCCAGACCATCATTAAAGTGTTGAATTCTCTGCCAAATAATTTTAAGTAAATGAAAGCATTTGGGATTGCTTTCCTTACTTTGTTTGGATCATCTTAAGTTAATGTATGAGTTGTTTTTTCTAAAGTAAAACCTCAGTATTCAGGTTAAATTGCCGTGTTGGCACTTTGCGATAAATAAGTGGGTTTTGGGTCGCAGTTTGGGCACTCGGTCTCTAAAAGGTTCGCCATCACTGCCCTAAGCCTTCTTCTGAAAGCTCATTTTTTGGGGGAGACGATTCCAAGGAGTGGGGTCTAGAACTGAACACTGCACCTCCCTTCAAGAAGGGATGGACTAGCATCTTGTCAGAAGAGCAGAGATGTGGCACGTGTGTAGAAAGTTGCACGTGTGTAGAAAGAGCAAAGATCACATGTGGCCTTGGCTTCGATGAATGAGGGTTCTGTGTACATTTTTATTTATTTAATTGAAATGTGTGTACCCCACCTTTCCCTTTCACCTCCACTTGCAGCCATACAAAAGATAGTAACACTCTGGCTAAATAGCATTCAGAAATAGCTGCAAAAGCATTCAGAGCCAGCTGCGAAAGCAGTAGGCTCTGCAGGTGAGTGATTTGTGACCAGGAATGCATTGAGGGTTTCCTAACTACTGGTCTTCAGTTAGTGGTGAATTCCTCCATATAGTAAAGCTGCCAAATCCCAGACTTTCAAAGATTTCCCTTTAGGTTTCTTTTAGTAACACAGAATGATTTCACTGAATATCTTCGTGTTTTGAGCTGCATTTGAGGAAAACTTGAGCCTCTATTTTTTTAATTTGATGCCACAGCTCTGGGATTATCTGGTTTTAGATCAGGGCTTTGGTGTAGTGGTTAGGAGCGCGGGCTCTAATCTGGGAGAACCGGGTTTGATTCCCCACTCCTCCACATGCAGCTTCTGGTGTGACCTTGGGTCAGTTACAAGTTCTCTCAGAGCTGTTTTCTCAAGAGCAGTTCTCTCAGAGCTCTCTCAGCACCACCTACCTCACAGGGTATCTGTTGTGGGGAGGGTAAGGGAAAGGAGATTCCACTCTGAGACTTCTTCAGGTAAGCCACTCTGAGACTTCTTCAGGTAGTGAAATGTGAGGTATAAATCCAATCTCCTCTCCTCCTCGTCCTCCTTCTGTCTCAGAGGAAGAAGAAAAATGTTAGGGCAAAAGGAAGTACTGTGATCTAGAGCTTGTGCATACGTAAACTGGACGTTGACTGTATTAACTAACATAAGCACTGTGTCTTGACGATGTGTGATGCCTTATGCCATTAATTGAATTGTCTGTATTTACAGGTATTTGGAGCCGGGATATCAGATATAAAAGTAATCTTCCCTTAACTGAGATCAACAAGATACTAAAGAACTTGGAAAGCAAGAAACTCATTAAAGCTGTGAAGTCTGTAGCGGTGAGTGGCTCTTAATTTTGAAGGAAGTGAGGAGTCCAGAAGGGTCTTATCAAGGCAGACAAACAGATGCAGGGTTGAGCTGGGGTTTCACTGCAGGCTTTAAGCTTCTGTGGCGAAAACAGAAGTGCTGTCTCTTGAATGGGCAGTCTCCATGTGGTGGGCAGTGGTTCCTGCAAAGGTCTCAAGGGGAACTTGCTCAGGAGAAATCTCTTTTTCTAATAACTGCATCATATGTTGCCCAGTAGCAGCTGGGAGTTGATCTCCACTTCATGGGGCACTGCAGCTGATCCTGACTCCCTGAGCGGTTTGCTGTAGAAGGAGTCTCAGATTTTCAGAAGGTATTGCTGTAAAGATGATTACTAGCGGTGGCATTGATTGTATAGCTGGCATTGAGGAATCAGGAGGACATGGGATTATCATAGCCTTGTTGGACTGATGTCAGATCAAGGTGATTTAAATCACAATTCAAATCTCCAAGAGAAAGCAAATTTTAAATCATTTATAGTGTTCACACTTCCTTTAAAAAGTGCAGCCTAATTTGTTGCTCTGACAGTAAAAACACATTGCTGTAAAACCAAATAGACTCTTTATAAACCCCCAGAGAATACACTATAGTTTTCTTAAACATTTCACTTCATGCCAGTTTGGTGTAGTGGTTAAGTGCGCGGACTCTAATCTGGGAGAACCGGGTTTGATTCCCCACTCCTCCACTTGCACCTGCTGGATGACCTTGGGTCAGTCACAAGCTCTGGCACAGCTGTTCTTGAAAAAGAGCAGTTGCTGTCAGAGCTCTCTCAGCCCTGCCTACCTCACAGGGTGTCTGTTGTGGGGAGGGGAAGGGAAAGGAGTTTGTAAGCCGCTCTGAGACTCCAAGTGAAGGGCGGGGTATAAATCCAATCTCTTCTTCTTCTTACTATTTTGTACAAAACACTTTAGACAGAGCATTGCTTATTTTTAGATATCGTATGTTTGCAGCTTCAGATGGGGTTTCCGTTGCATGCTGCAGCTTCGACAGGCTTTTATAGACGAGGGCTGGCTGGAATCAGCGTGAGACTGTGCTCCTTCTTTCTGGTCTTCCTTTTTGTGTGGGTCTGTAGCCGACCTGCCCCCTCACTGCCACAAAAAAGTAAAGTATCTCAGCCAGAAGGAAGGGCTGGTGATTGAGGCTGGGGCAGATCAGCATTCAAAAAGTAAAGTATCTCAGCCAGAAGGAAGAGCTGGTGATTGTGGCTGGGGCAGATCATGCTCCAGATCATGTGGCTGGGGAAGGCCATGCTCCTGGGCTGATGTTCAGGATTAGAGGACTGAGCCAGTTGCAGAGATTCGGTAGTGACTAAGCATAAAATGAATATAAAAAGTCAGCTGGTTAGATCATTGGAGACTACCTGTGGGAACTTGCTGATCCCTGGATGTCAGAGTACATGGCCTGTTGTGCTGTGTGAGCACCGAGGAAGCTGTTTTCCCCCCAAAGAAAAGCTACCTCCTGTAAATCATGAGGTTCATAAATTCAGTTTGAAGCAATTAAATACTTGCAGTAAATCTAGATTTTTGTCTTAAATATGGTTATTTTTAGAACTTATTGCCCTAACTTTAAAAAGTTAAAAATGTGATTGTTTTGATTTTTAAAAGTAATTTGTATCTGAATATCACCTGCGTTCATAGTGGAGAATTGTAGAAAATGCCTGTCTTTGGAAGAAGAAAACTATTATACAGTAAACTTCAGCCTTTTCAAACTATGGCCTGCCTTTAGCTTCAGCCTTTTTGGACTGTGGCCAGCCTGTTCCTGCCTGTGTCGGTGAGGTGGCTGAATGGAAACCTGACTCCTGGATTTTTTAAATACTTGCACAGAAGAGGGCATTTTAGTAGGTGAAGCTTGTCATTCATAGATGAGAAAAACCTACTTGCTGAAGTTACGTCTCCAGTGCAACTATTACGTAATTCTAGTTGTGCTGTGCTCCTCTTTGTGCATTTTGTCATCTTCTTTTTTAAAAAGAAAGAAAAGAAAAAGGTGGTTTTGCTGTTAAATAACTGCATTATTTATGTCCAAGGAGCGGTGGCGCAGGCAGCTAAAGCCTGCAGTAATTCATCAACGAACATGCCATAAGGCTGTTCGAGTCCCACCGTGGCTGGGGGTGAGCTCCCGGCCCTCGTCCTAGCTCCTGCCTACCCAGCGGTTCGAAAGCCTAGCAAGTAGATAAATGGGTACCTGCCTAGGTGCAGGGGGGCAACCACCGTCCGGTGTGGCTGCAGCGGCAAGGAAGAACAAGGAGGAGCGGTGGTGCTAGCGGCGGCAACGGGCAGCAAGGCGATCCGGCTGGAAACATGGCAGCGAATCAACATCGGCCGAGCAAGCATTCCGGGCGGGACTGATCTAGAGACGAGGCGACGCGGCGACTCAGCACAGCCGGAGCCAATCAGGACAGAGGCTAGTGCAAGCAGTCATCGCACAGTCGCGGATTGAAGAATCAGCCCAGAAGGAGACGCTGCGGAGCCACGCCGAGCCAGACCACGCCGAGAAAACACCACGCCGGGCCGGAGCATGCCGAGACACCGTAGCAGAAGGGGAAAAGAAAGAAGAGCCACAGAAGTACAACAAGCCGGCAGGGTGCCTGATAGGCACTCACCTTCCCCATCCAGTGTGGCCCTAGCTAGGAAGTATAAAACCTCCGTGTAAACCTCTCAGAGCCTCAGGGATGGAGCGGTATAAAAATTGAAATAATAAAATAAATAAATAAATTGACCTACTGTTGGTCCCAGACCCATTAGTAGAAGGCTAAGGGATTTCCATGGCTGCGTTGATGCCTGGTAGTGATGTGCTGCTGCATGAGCATGTATTTTGTGGCCATGTGGCGATAACCATTTTTTCCAACTGAACAAAATCGCTGTATTCTTCATTTACTAGGCTTCCAAGAAAAAGGTGTATATGTTATACAACCTTCAGCCGGATCGTTCTGTGACAGGCGGCGCTTGGTACAGTGACCAGGATTTTGAGTCTGAATTTGTAGAGGTTCTGAACCAACAGTGTTTTAAATTCTTGCAGACCAAGGTGAGTAAGCTTCCAATTTCCTTATTTTGTGTCCAGGTTCGTTGCTCATGGTATGTAGGTGCTGCAGCCCCAAGAACATCTCAGAAGGGCTTCCGGCTTGGGGGACTTTTTGTAGGGACTGTTCTTCTTGGCTGGCTAACTTGAAGAAGCTCAAGATATTCATAAGAACACCTTGTGCGGAAAATCCTGCCAGAAGCCAAGTGGAACTCCTCTGCAAGTCCGTGGACTGCAGCCAGGATTAATTTAAATTTTCTTTCTGAAAAGACAACCTCACAAGTGGTAGCAGATCATTTATTTATATATTTGATTCATTTATTCCGTACATTTCTGTTCGGTGGGGGCACGCTGGTAGACCTCCTGATGGTGCCTGGTATTTTTGGCCACTGTGTGACACAGAGTGTTGGCCTAGATGGGCCACCGGCCTGATCCAACATGGCTGCTCTTATGTTTGTATGTTCAAAGCAGCTTACCACTGTCTCCTCTCCTCCATCCGATCTTCACAGCAACCCTTTCAGGTAGGTTAAGCTGAGAGAGTGCCACTGGCCCAGGGTCCATGTGGCAGGACTGGGCATCTCCCAGGTAACCTGTAATAATAATAATTATTATAATGCTTTCGATTTATTGATCGCTCTTTCCCACATACCTGCGGGCTCAGAGCGATTTACAGTTACTCTTGAGACAGTTGGACTAACAATATTTGTGGGGATAGGGAAGACAAGCATACAGCATTAATTACACACACATTGCAGCTAGCCGGGCTTCATCTGCTGTCTGGGTCAGTCGTGTTCCTACGGCATCTTGTCGGCTGGCTGATGATGTCTGGCTTCTTGATGTTGTGCAGCCACACACTGCCACCGCTTGGCCGACTCGCTCCACTGCAGGGAAGCCGACACAGTTCTTTCATCTTTCCGGTCCCCGCGCCTCAGAAGTTGCCTCGGCAGCTGACACCTTCCCGAAGGGTGGTCCCCAATTTATCTACTTGCCGAAGCTTTCGAATCGCCGGGTAGACGATGAGCTAGGACAAGGCTTGGTTGCTCACACCAACACGGGGCTAGAACGGCCAAAGCATGGCAGTTCAGACGTTATTGTTAAGCAGGGAAAAGTCCCCTGCGCCACCGCTCCCTGTAGTCAGGACATTGGTCCTGTTTCCCTCCAAGCACATGCAGGACACCCCAGTCAGTTCTAGCATTTGTTTATTCAGACCTTCATTCATACAGAGCAAGGAGTGGTTAACAGCACCCTTCCTGCCTGCCTAAGTTGCTGTCCCCCCCTTAAGCCGTGTCCTAATGCACATCTAAGGAGCTGCGGTGGCTCAAGTGGTTAAGACACTGAACTGCAGGCTGTGGAAGGTCGGTAGTTCAGCAGTTCAAGACCCGAGTGCGCCGCATGGTGGAGTGATTTCCCGTCTCTAGTTCCAGCTCCTGCCAACCTAGCAGTTCGAAAGCAAGAAATTGCAAGTAGATAAATAGGTACCGCTTCGATGGGAAGGGAACAGCGTTCCGTGCGCCTTGGTGTTTAGTCATGCCGGCCACATGACCACGGAAACGTCTTCGGACAGCGCTGGCTCTTCGGCTTTAAAACGGAGATGAGCACCGCAACCCTAGGGTCGGATTCGACTGGCTTTTGAGCAAGGGAACCTTTACCTTTACCTTTTAATGCACATCTTGGTTTAGCTGACCTCCTGCCCCAGCTACTCCCAGCTGCTGCTAGTTGCTGCTGGCTCTACCTGTCTCCAGGGTGATTAGCCCTCACTGTCTCCACCCGGAGGTTTGGCCATGCCTGAGCAGGCTTCTCCCAAGCAGCTTATGCGCCCTTTTGCTTTCAGTTGCTCCTCTGGGTTTTCCAGTTTGGTGTAGCGGTTAGGAACACGGACTCTAATCTGGGAAAACCGGGTTTGATTCCCCACTCCTCCACATGCAGCTGTTAGTGTGACCTTGAGCCAGCCACAAGTTGTTTCAGAGCTGTTCTCTCAGGAGCAGTTCCCTCAGAGCTCTCTCAGCCCTGCTTACCTCACGGGTAATGCTCCCTCTAAGCTGTGGAGTCTTCTGAGCAAAACTTCTACTTTGTGAGCTACTGGCATTAAAGTTGTGAGCGAGCAATTCGGCTGCTGCCTAAATTAATTTGTTCTGGAGCCATCCTCCCTGAGCGAAGACAAAAATGTGTGAGCTGGAGGCTAAAAAACTGTGAGCTAGCTCACACTAACTCGGCTTAGAGGGAACACTACTCACAGGGTGTCCGTTGTGGGGAGTGAAGGGCAGAGTATAAATCCAATCTCCTCTTCTTCCTTATGAGGTACACCTTCTGGCCTCGGGTAAGTGGGCTCCCTCTCGGGCCTGTCCCTGTCACAGTCACCCAGCAAGTCTCCATGGCAGAGTGGGGATTTAAATGTTCCCTGTAATCCCAAAACCATTAGTGATTGGCCATAATTTTGGGGAGAAAAACCCCTCATTTGCCAGGTAAATACACTTGAGAGAAAGACTAATTTGCATGGCTCCACCACACTCTTAGCTCAAATACTTTGGCCACCCAATGACACTAACTCAGCTTAGAGGGAACCCTGGTAAGTGGGCTCTGGCCTGCCCCTGTCACAGTCACCCAGCAAGTCTCCATGGAAGGAGTGGGGATTTAAATGTCCCCTGTAATCCCAAAACCATTAGTGATTGGCCATAATTTTGGGGAGAAAACCCCCTCATTTGCCAGGTAAATACAGTTGAGAGAAAGACTAATTTGCAAGGCTCCACCACACTCTTGTGTGACCGTGAAACTGGACCCGGAGTAGGCTTCTGCAGGCAGCTCAGATTCGGTTCTAGGTATGAAGCTGGATCCAGTGCAGCGGTATCACAGACACAAGGGCCCTGTGGAGCACGTCTTTTGCAGCTCCCCTGCAGCAGCTTTAATTCTCTATGATTCCTTGCATGGGATAGTTCAGTCTCTGGCCGCACCTACATGGGGACATGGAAATGCGCAGTTGCAAGTGGGGTGGGAAGAGTGTCGGTGCACACCCATTCCCACTGTGCTTGCCAGAGCACGGATGTGACACTGATTTTGCCCCCCCCCCCCCCGCTCGCCGCGGCACCCCCCCCCTCTCTCTTTCTCTTTCCCAGCTGAACTGGGCTGTCGTCCAGAGGTCCTGGGTGCATTGGTTTCGCAGACACTTTCCTGGCACCCACTGAGTGCTTTTAGGAAGTGGCTGAATCTAGGCGGGACTTCTGCCCAGCAGAGCTTCTGATTGGCCGCACAGATTACAAGGCATCCTGTTAAACATTGCTTCTGCCTGAAATGGTGAAGAAGTACTCTTAGAGTTATATATAACCACGTACCTGGGTATGTTGTGGCTGGCTCCACCTCCCGCAGCAGCCATTTTGTGACTGACTCCACCTCCCGCGGCAGCCATTTTGTGGTTGTTCCCGCTGCCCAGTGTCACAGTCCCAAAGGTGCCTGCAGGCTCAAACAGGTTGGAGACCCCTGCTGTAATGCTGCACTGTGGCTCTGTAGGAAAAGGAAAAGAGTCCTGTAAGCGGTTAGAGACAGGTTGCCCCCTGCCATTTTGAATACAAAGCTTAGCTCTGCCCGATTCCCATAGAGGCTGTGGGGTAGTGTCCAGGTGGACACTCTGCCCACACCCACCTGCAGGTCCCCTTTGACCCTAATTGAAGTAGTTTTACGTTTAATCTGGTTTACATGGGAGAAATAAAGGGGCCAGACAAGTTGTGCCTGAACTGAGCACAGGGTCCTCCAGATGATCTCAAATACTGTGGGGGCTTCCCACTGTGCTTTTTTTTGGGGGGAATCCCACTGTTCTATTGAAGAAGCATTGCAAGCTCATGCGCGTGCGCGCACACACACACACACACAGAGGTCTCTGGAATATGTGGGGTTGGGACCCCTAAAACCGCTCCTGTTTGTTACAGTGGTGGGCATGTCTCTGGGTTAAGTGCCGTCAAGTCGCTCCCAACCCGTGGTGACCCAATGAATTCATGTCCTCCAAAATGTCCTGTTGTTAACGGCCTTGCTCAGGTCTTGCAAACGGGAGGGCCTTTGTGGCTTCCTTGACCGAGACAATCCATCTCATGTCGGGTGCTCCTCCTTTCCTGCTGCCTTCAGCTTTCCTAGCATCAGGGGTCATTTCCTGCAGGAGCGCACAGGAGCAGAGCTCCGGCAGTAAGGAGCTCAGGGGGCGGGCACATGCAACAAACCCCACCCCCTGCTCCCAGCAGCCCTCAGTCGGGCCATGAGGAGCAAGAAGCAGGCAGGTAAATTGCAGAGCCCCCTCCCGGCCCACCTTCAGGTACAAGCTTTCCCTCCTCTGCACATTCCCCCCCCCCCGCAATAGCTAGCAATCCAAAACAGTCCAGTGGAGTGTGAGCGGTGGGTTTTGCCTTCTGACACACTGCCGGTGATGCCAGGGGGTGTGGCATATGCTAATAAGTTATGCTAATAAGTTATGCTGATGAGCTCCTACACCTCTTTTTCTACGAAATGACCCCAGCCTAGCATTATTGTCTTTTCCAGTGACTCTTGTCTTCTCATAATGTGACCAAAGTACGATAGTCTCAGATTAGTCATTTTAGCTACTGGGGAGAGCTCAGGCTTGATTCGATCTAGAACTCACTTCTTTGTCTTTTTGGTAGTCCGTGGTGTCCATAAAACTCTCCTCCGAGGCCACATTTCAAATGAATCAACTTCCTCCCTGTCGGCTTTCTTCATTGTCCAGCTTTCGCACCCATACATAGTAACGGGGAATACTTTGGCGTGAATTAACTTGACCTTGGACATGTCCGTCGTTCAGAACAAAAAAACAAGAACTGCAAAAATTAGTCTGAGCCTTCATGATGCACGCCGTGAACATTTGAAAATCCCTCTGCCGTCTGAGCTGTGCCACATTCGTTTTAAAAGGGAAATCCTGGGGGGGGGGGAGAGAGAGAGAGAATGTTGTTGTTGTTCAGTCGCACAGTCGAGTCCGACTCTTCGCGACCCCATGGATCATCTCCCGCCAGGCCCTCCTGTCTCCTGCCGTCCTCTGAAGTTGGCTCAATTTCATGTTCGTTGCATCTATGACACTGTCCAACCATCTCATCCTTTGCCGTCCCCGTCTTCTTTGACCTTCAGTCTTTCCCAGCATCAGGGTCTTCTCCAGTGAGTGCTCCCTTCTCATTGGGTGGCCAAAGTATTTGAGCTTCAGTTTCATTATCTGGCCTTCCAGGGAACAGTCAGGGTTGATTTCTTTTAGGATTGACTGATTTGATCTTTTTGCAGTCCAAGGGAAAAGAATCTATTCTTCGGCGCTCGGCCTTCCTTATAGTCCAACTCTCGCAGCCATACACGACTACTGGGAATACCGGGAATGAATTCTTCTGGTGCGGAGGAACATCTGCTTAAAATGCTTGCCGGATGAATATCTCTAGGATAACTAGCTGAGGAACATGCCCTTCTCAGTAAACAAAGGCTGCCAAAATCTGTTTGTGTCCCCTGTGTTTTGTAGGCTGAAGCCGCTCGTGAAAGCAAGCAGAACCCAATGATCCAGAGAAACAGCTCATTTGCATCCTCGCACGAGGTGTGGAAATATATCAGCGAACTGGGCATTAGTAAGGTGAGGCTGAATGGCTTTCCTTGGACTGTCTCCTGTGTTCCAGTGCTGTGCTTGCCAGAGACTGGAAATGAGACATTCTTCTCTTTGGTCCCAGATCAGTGAAGCTGGTTTTGGTTTCAAAAGCTGCTTCTGTGAAACTAGTTTTTACTCTTCCTCCCTTATCCTGATGATTCTGAGGGGCCTGTTGAAATCGACATGCTTTGGGTGCTGTAGGAAGATGGCTTCCTTTAATGTTCTAAACATGTTATCTTTTAGGGGCAGTTGCAAATATGTTTTGCACTCGTCGGATGTGGTCCAGCACGATATGCACAATTCATATCATTGGTGCTTTAATTCCAGGAATATTGTGGACATAGCTTTTACGTTTTATTTGTATTTTGGACATAGGAATCGCCTGCGTTTTTTAGAAAAAAGTTTTGTACGAGTAATGAAGTTTTGTCTTTGTAATGCAGGCAGCATTTGGTCTTTCCTCTTGTAATTGACAACACAAGAGATCTGTATATTATTATTGTTCTGCTATACTTCATGTTTATTAAAGGGTATTTATGTATTTAGTTTAGGATTTATTGGATTGATCATTTGTTTATTTTACGTCGTTTATAACCCGCCTTTGTCCCCTGTGGTGACCAGTGTTCCCTCTAAGCTGAGTTATTGTGAGCAAGCTCACAGTTCTTTATCCTCCGGCTCACACATTTCTGTCTTAGCTCAGGAAGGGATGGCTCCAGAGCAAACTAATTTATGCAGCCGCCAACTTGCTCACTCACTACCCCAGTTCGGTGTAGTGGTTAAGCGCGTGGACTCTAATCTGGGAGAACCGGGTTTGATTCCCCACTCCTCCACTTGCACCTGGCTGGATGACCTTGGGCAAGCCGTAGCTCTGATAAGAGCTGTTCTTGACAAAGAGCAGTTTCTTTCAGAGCTCTCTCAGCCCTACCTACCTCATAGGGTGTCTGTTGTGGGGAGGGGAAGGGAAAGGAGTTTGTAAGCCGCTCTGAGACACCTTTGGGTAGTGAAGGGCGAGGTATAAATCCAATCTCTTCTTCTTCTTCTTCTACCTCACAGGGTGTCTGTTGTGGGGAGGGGAAGGGAAAGGAGTTTGTAAGCCGCTCTGAGACACCTTCGGGTAGTGAAGGGCGGGGTATAAATCCAGTCTCTTCTTCTTCTTCTTTGGGTAGTGAAGGGCAGGGTATCAATCCAATCTCCTCTTCTTCTCTTCTTCTTCTTAATGCCAGTCTCTTCCAAAGCAGAATTTTTGCTCACAAGACTCCACAGCTCAGAGGGAGCATTGGTGGGGATCCAGATCAGCTTACATCATTCTCTTCTCTTTCATCTTATCCTCCCAACACCCCGTGAGGTGGCTGAGGCTGAGGATGTGTGAGTGGCCCAAGGGCACCCAGCAAGCATCCACGGCAGGGCGGGAATTCCCCAGATACTAGCCAGACCCTTTAACCACTACGCCACCTTGGGTCCTTAGGGCTTACGTATGGATAGACACTAACTTCTCTTGTTTCAGGGTGAAAACCTTTTTCAAGCACCATCTCTTCCCCGGTTTATTCTCCTCCAGTTACGTGAATACATGAAGCTGCTTTATACTGAATGAGATCCACTGGATGAGTTGCCAGATCTCTCTCTCTTGTGAATGGCTGGATTTAGGTATTCACAAAGTAGAAAGGATTTGACCCGGTGAAATGAGTTTGACCCTGGTGGTAATGCCACCACTCTCTGTCCAGTCGTTCCAGCCCCACTCCCAGGGGGCTTGTTTCAAATTAATTTTTAAACTAGGGATTCTGCCCTATCTATGGCACTTTTAATATCCCATCATTTCTTTAAATTCTGTTTGATTTTTCTTTAGAGTTAGACTACTGTTTCCATTACACAGGTGTTCTGGATTTTGTAAGAGATATTTAACATGTGGGTGTTTTGAGTTCCTGATTAATGTTAAAGGGAGATTTAGAAACCTCGTTAAGTAAGAACTTAATTCCAAGAACTCTTGCATAATTCTGAAGAAGAGCCATTTTTCTCCAGTAGTTGCATTTATCTTGTACTGAGAATGACATTCTATTTTTAAAAGATCAGTCCACTTTCTTTGTTTAATAGGGCTACTTTGATTTTTTTTTTGTTTATTCCAACAAAAATAGGTGGAATTGTCAATGGAGGACATAGAAACCATTCTTAACACATTAATATATGACGGAAAGGTGGAAATGACCATAATTGCTGCCAAAGAAGGAACAGTCGGTAGCGTGGATGGACACATGAAGCTGTATAGAGCGGTGAACCCCATCATCCAGCCCACGGGTTTAGTTCGGACCCCTTGTGGGCTCTGTCCAGTAAGTGGCCCCTTAAGCATTATATGTGATGTGAATAATGTAAGCTCATTGTTCATTAGGTTGGCCACAGTCTGCAGTATACCTAGTATACAGTCCTGTATCTGATAAAAGTTTTAAGTAAAAATGGATTGTCACCCAACCAAAGCTGTGTTAGAGTTGGGACTGCCTTGTAAGACCTTTTGGATGTCTGTCTGTCTGTCTGTCTCTCTCTCTGTATTTTTCATATGTGCATGTGTGTGTGCATGGGAGTGTGTGTGCACCTGGAAGTCATGGTGGTCTCTGGTGACTGACCCCTACTGGGGGCCTGGAGGATATTCAGCCTGAATAAAGTCTGCTCCTGCCTCTGGTATTCCTTGGAGGTTTCCCTTCCAGGTGCTTGCCAGAGTCGACCCAGCTTAGCTTCCGCAATCTGATGAGATCGGGCTTGCCTGGGCTATCCAGGTCAGGGGATGAGTCCCACTCTTGTTGACAGGGTGGTGATGATGATGATGATATAATAATAATAATAATAATAATAATAATAATAATAATAATAATAATAATAATAATAATAATAATAATAATAATAATAATAATAATAATAATAATAATACACTTTTACTCTGCTTTTCATCCAAGATTGGTTTCCAAATGCCTCGTAGCAATTTAGAATGCATCATATGGCTTTGCTAAAGGTTAGTTTAATGTCAGTTTGCTGAGCACCCCCTCTGGCCATGTTCCATGCAGAGGCTCATGGCAGTAAGCTTTTCACCTACATCTCCATCTGCGTGAAGAAATGTGTGTCCTGCTGGGTTTTGCATGTGAATTGCTGAAAGGCCCCATGTAGGCACCAAAGCGTCATGCACATGGGGCTGTATATCACAAACCACTTGTCTGGGAGGGGAATGGATCTAGCCACTTGATCCCCCCGCCGGATGATTGGCACTGTTATTTTGCAAACCCACTCAGGCCAGCCCCTCTGGGAGAAGTCTGCTGCTTTACACACATGTGTAAGCCTGAAAATCAGTTAGCATCAGCAGCATGGGCTCCCCTTCATCCTTAAAACAGGTCAAGGAGGACTGGGGGTTGGGCTTTCTCTGCTGGGGGATTCCCTCCTCACATTGGCCTGCCTGTCTTTTGAGCTTTAGCCCAAAACTGCCTTGTGTTGGAATCTCCCTTGACTGCATTGGGCTCAAAGTACCAGTTTTAATAAGGCAAGAGACTTTCAGAGGTGGTTTTGCCATTGCCTGTCTCTGCGTTGCAACCCTGGTATCCCTTGGTGGTCTCCCATCCGAATACTAACCAGGGCCAACCCTGCTTAGCTTCCTAGATCTGTGGAGACCGGGCTGTCCAGGTCAAGGCATATGCTAAATATATACATTTAAACAAATAAACATTATCGATCTTCTACCAATAAGCTGTATTGATCTCCGATTTTGTCTGTCCTTAGGTTTTTGACGACTGCCACGAAGGTGGCGAGATATCCCCGTCAAACTGTATTTATATGACAGAGTGGCTGGAGTTTTAGCGGCACAATGTGGACTGTGTCACCTTCCTGCACCTGACATCAACGAACCAATTTTTTCTTTATGACAGACCCTTTTCCTCAGGAGGAGAGAGTTTTGCTTTTAAAACTCTAACCTGTTTAAAAAGAGCATCAGCTGAAGACATTCTCAGGCGTCTGCGTGCTGTACGATTCAGACTGAAGATACACCCGTCTTTTCTGTTCAAGATCTGCACAGGCAGAAAAAAGAAGGCTCTTTGTAGCCTTAGAGAGGGAGGTTGGGTGTTGTTGACTAGCAGAGTGAATGAATGCCTTGCCCTGCTAAATAAAGCCAAGTTTGCTCATGGCAGTCCAGTCCTGCAGCAGGCCTTTAGTAGCATCACAGCAACTGTGGAGAAAGCGGCCGGGCGACCATCCTGCAACGTTGCAGATTTGGGGAACAGTCTGCTCAAAAGCTTTTCCGTAAAACCTCACTCAGTGAAATGGCACACGAGCATTGTTTGGCTTTGGGGGGTTGGGAGCTCTACTGAAGCTGGGATTAGTCCCCTGTCAATGTAAATTTGAAATGTAGATTCAGAATGTTTGTTTCTGACAACCAGCTTCTTGCAAAGATTTCAAAGATGCAGAGCAGGGCGGTTAATGCAGCAGGTACAACCATCAGAATAACTACTCAAGGAGCATCACGCCTTTGAACCTCAAACCTGCTCTGTTCTGCATGTAGGGTTAGGGTTTTGAAAGTCTCTGTTCTCTGCAATGGAAAGGTTTTGACTCTGGGTTGTCCATTCTTTTTTTGCAACCAAAGACAGGCACTGAACCACACCAAACTTCATGTTAATTGCAAAACACTAAGTGAGATCATAACATCTCTTGAATTTCTGCCTGGCCAGAGCATCTTGTTTCCACAACGTGCCATCTAAACTCACCCAAAGACAGAAAATCATCAGCTACTTGTCCAACAAGCGATTGAGAAAGCTGTTGAACAACTTCCTGACGATGTACAGTGTTTTGTTTAATACAATCCAGGAGATTTGACTTCTCGGAGTGAACTTTGGTATGGAGGGCCTCTTCGGTGAGGGTCCCAAAAATGCCTGGCTTACAGCAGGTGAACCATGGAGGCAGATTTCTCCACACATCCCCTCCTTTGCTCGGCTTGTAAGGGAGGGGAAATCTTACGGCTCTCCTCCTTGGGCTGTCAGTCCGCCATCTTCCACCCCTTTCTGACACTCTGCTTTCTCTCTCACCTTCTCAGCCTTCACCCCCTGCCTTCCTCTCTACTTTTCCTGCTTTCTGCCCTACAAGCCCCCAGTCCTTCTCCCCTTCCCTTCACCTTCCCATTCCTGTTTGGTGCAGTGGTTAAGTGCGCAGACTCTAATCTGGGAGAACCGGGTTTGATTCCCCACTCCTCCACTTGCACCTGGCTGGATGACCTTGGGCAAGCCATAGTCCTGACAAGAGCTGTTCTTGAAAAAGAGCAGTTTCTGTCAGAGCTCTCTCAGCCCCACCTACCTCACTTGGTGTCTGTTGTGGGGAGGGGAAGGGAAGGAGTTTGTAAGCCGCTCTGAGACTTTGAGTGAAGGGCGGGGTGTGAATCCAGTCTCTTCTTCTTCTTGGGGTTTGCAGAAACCTGTCTCTTAGTCCTGGGTGGTAACGTTGAGTGGATTTTTGATCTGCCCAGCATACACAGCTGGGAGAAACCTTAACTTTGCATTTGAATACCACTAAATGTGGGGTAGGAGAAGGGGGGGAGCCCCACATTCAGTGTTGGTTGAATGAAAACCAGAGACAGTTTTTGCTTTGTTTATTCTAGTTACAGAACAATCTTTTCCGTCTAATGCCTCTGAAATGTGGGTAGCTTCTACATTCTGGTAATTCTCCATGCCGAATTTTATACTGTTAAGATGTGGTTTTATCAGGCCCACCTTCTTGCTACCTGCTCTTGTCTCCCCCCTTTTCTGGCTTCAGTCTCTTCAAACAACTTGTTCTGTAACTTTCCCTGACTTTCTCTTGTCTTTTTTGACCCCCCCAGGTTTACCATACAGCACGTTTCTGCCAAATCAGTGAAAGGCTCACCCTGGCAAGGTGCTCAAATGAGGACTTTTAAGATACTTTTAAGATACAAGCAAAAAGTTGCCAGAAATAAGACAAAATTTTGAACAGTTGCAACCCCAGTTTTCTAAATCTGATTTCTCTGATGTGTACACAGCATAAGGTATGAGTATACCTTAGAAATGCAGCGCTAAATAAATTTTATGTTATAGGCCAAATTATACAGCTGCAAGAGCAAGTGTTGAGTCAACTTTTCAGCAACCTATTATTATGCTGTCTGAACGATTTTATTTATTATAAAAGGGAAATAATTTATTCTACCAGTCTGACATTTTGCTTTGAGAATGTATTCGTAGCACTGTATGAGAATGTGTGTAATTGGCCCAGAATTCAGCAAGATCCCATGAAGAATACCTCTGTTACAGCAATTCAAAACCTGCTTTGAAGTTTACTATTCTCATATCCCCCACCATCTAAAACATACCTTCACAGTTGGGAGGGAGGCGCAATTCAAAAACACTCCAAACTTCAAGACTCACCTGGTTCTTTTGACTCATACCCTTTGGTGAAACTAGCTTCTATATATGTGTGTGGAACAGGCACCAGTTGCACGTGATCTGTTTGTTGTGTGTGTGTGTGGCGGTACCTTTGAAGAGAAGGAAGGGTGCTTTTGAATATGTGTATATGAGAAAAATGCTGCTGCCCGTGTATTTGGGATTAGTGCATTGATATCAAAAGAGGGGTAGGTTTTTACACCCCACTCTTCTCCATTTAAGGAGTCTCGAAGCGGCTTACAATCGCCTTCCCTTCCTCTCCCCACAGCAGGCACCTTATGAGGTAGGTGGGGCTGAGAGAGTTCAGAGAGAACAGTGACTGGCCCAAGGTCTCTGCGCAGGCTTCATATGTGGAGGAGTGTGGAATCAAACCCGGTTCTCGAAATTAAAGCCTGCCGCTCTGAACCACTATACCATGCTGGCTATAAGGGGGCTGCGAGGCAAGTTTGGTATGCATGTTTGTGAGAGAGGGAAAGCAAGCAAGCGGCAGTCTCTGCAAAGGGCTATTTTTGGGCAGGAACGCACAGGAACGGAGTTCCGGCTGGCTCCCAAGTTGGCCACGCCCAGCAGGAACTCATTAGCATGATAGGCCACACCCAACAGCAGAAACTCATTAGGATTGGCTACATTAGGGGTGTGTGGCCTAACATGCAAAGGAGTTCCTGCTACAAAAAAGCCCTGGGTTTTGACAACAAACAAGGTAAGCAGAATAACAAGCAAAAGGTGGGTGTGGCTGGATAACCACACTTCTGGTAACATGGGGGTGCGGCCTAATGTGCTAATGAGCTGTGCTGTCAGTGGTGTGGCCTAATATGCTAATAAGTTCCTGCTGTTGGGTGTGGCCTATTATGCTAATGAGTTCCTGCTGGGCTTTTTCTACAAAAAGAGCCCTGTAAATCTATGTCTTTATTCCCTAGGGGCAGAATGTGTGAACAGTGTATATATGATTAACTCTTCAACAGCATAATTAGTTCTATGGTGGGGTTTGTCATACTTTTGTGATTCCTGCATCTGTTTTGCGATCTCTGCCATGGATTTGTTGGATTTGGTATCCCATAGTAACTGCAGTGGCCTATGTGTCCACAGTTTGTCATAATTTTAGTTATCTAAAATATTTGTCATTGACCTTTCTGAAAGAAAATGAGGTATTATACAGGGTCCAGGCACAATAAAATAAACCACATGACACCCCCCCCCAAGCTATCCCAAACAGTGTGTGTGGGGTTCCTCGAAAGCTTTCTCAAAACAGCAGTTTTGCAGACCCCCTCCCAACCCCCCAAAAGAGGGGGACAGGCTGTATTCCACAAAGGAGTGTGTGCAGGAATGTTGGAAGTCCTTGCAGCTAAAGTTCTGGAATGGGTCAGTGCTGTACGGCTAGAAGGGTGGCAGAAACCTAGGAGGTAACTAGAGATTCTGCTTCTCCTATCTCTTCCATTTGAACGATGACCAGCCCTCCCGCCACTTCACAACCTACCAAGGTTACAGTGAGCAAACTAAGCTACATCACTCCCTCCGACATGCAAATGAAGTAGTCGCATCGCTCCACCCTGTATTCCCAAGTCCCTACACAGGTAAGCTCTGGGTTGGGAACCACCTGGAGATTTTGAGGGTGGAACTTGAGGAGGGCAGGTTTTTGTTAGGGGAGGGACTCCAGCGGAGCACGATCCCATAGAGCCCGCCTTCCGAAGCAGCCATTCTCTCCAGGTGGACTGATCTCTGTCACCTAGGGATCACTTTGTAAACAGAAGGTTCTGTAAGTGCTGTGGACTTATGCAGTTCATGAGAGGAAGGGATGAGCCAGTGCTCGGCTTTTGTGGCCCTTTCTTACATCTCCAGGGCAATGCTCCCTCTAAGTTGTGGAGTCTTGTGAGCAAAAATTCTACTTTGTAAGCTATTTGCGTTAAAGTTGTGAGCGAGCGATTTGGCTCCTGCCTAAATTAGTTTGCTCTGGGGTCCTCCTTCCTGAGCTGAGACACAAATGTGTGAGCCAGAGGTTAAAAAAACTGTGAGCTAGCTCACACTGACTCAGCTTAGAGGGAACACTGGTGCAGGGCAATACTGATCGCCGCTTTGGCGTCAGGAAGGGATTTCCCCCTAGGCCAGATTGGCCAGGGTTCCTGAAAGTTGTTGTTGTTGTCTTTTTCTGCATATAGACGAGGGGTCCCTGGGGGAGTGGGGTTAGTTGTGCATTTCCTGCATTTTGCAGGGGGTTGGACTAGATGACCCTTGAGGTCCCTCCCAGCTCTATGTGTCTATGACATCTCCATCCACCCCCCTGGAGGTTTATAATCCTACAGGTAAGCCAGAGCCTGTTCAAGCTGCCCCGTGGACTCTCTTAAATAGTTCTGTCTTAAATAGTTTGGTCTTGCGGTCTCACTGGAAGGCTTTACAAGTGAGGGCCAGAGCCTTAAATTGGACCTGGAAACAATGAGGCAGCCGGAGGAGAGATGTCAGGGCTGGTATAATGTGGTCTCAATGGGCAGTACCTGATAATAAAGGGGACACTGCATGTTGCACCAGCTAAGATGACTGGGATGCCCATTGTGAGGGGCGACGTCCTATCCTTTACCTTGGCCCCTCCAGAGCGTCCTGCAACATGGTGACAACATTTCTGCTCGTGTAGATAGAAGTGACATCGTGGGATGCTGTTGGGTAAGTCCCCCCCGCCCGCCGCCGCCCACAGTGTCCTGGGTATTGCTAGCAGAGGACAGGCAGCCCTCACACAAGCTGAAGTTTCCAGCAATCTTCAAGGGCAGCCCAATCAAGAGTATGTCACAGTAACCTAGCCTTGAGGTTGCAGTAGCATGGGTCAGTGTGGCCAGAAATCTGAGAAATCCCAGCATTATCTTCTGTAAACAGGACAACATTGTGCTTCAGGGAAAGAAACAGGTGCTTTACAAACGCTATTAATACCAATTTAGACTTTATTTCAGTGGGGTGAGGACTAAGGGCTTAAAGCCCTTTATCATTTTTTAACTACTGAATCTTGGCATTAGCCAGCAACACTGTCATTGGCTTTGTTGTTCAGTTGCACAGTCGAGTCTGACTCTTTGGGACCCCATGGACCAGATCACGCCAGGCCCTCCTGTCTTTCGCTGTCCTCTGAAGCATGTTCGTTGCATCGATGACATTGTCTAACCATCTCATCCTTTGCCATCCCCGTCTTCTTTGGCCTTCAATCTTTCCCAGCATCAGGGTCTTCTCTAGTGAGTGCTCCCTTCTCATTTGGTGGCCAAAGTATTTGAGCTTCATTTTCATTATCTGGCCTTCCAGGGAACAGTCAGGGTTGATTTCTTTTAGGATTGACTGATTTGATCTTTTTGCAGTCCAAGGGACTCTCAAGAGTCTTCTCCAGCACCATAGTTCAAAAGAATCTATTCTTCGGCGCTCGGCCTTCCTTATAGTCCAATTCTCGCAGCCATACATGACTACTGGGAATACCATTGCTTTGACCATGCGGACTTTTGTTGGCAGGGTGATGTCTCTACTTTTTATCACGCTGTTTAGGTTTGCCATCGCTTTCCTCCCAAGGAGCAGGCGTCTTTTAATTTCATGGCTTGGGATCCCCTTATATATATAAGAAAGACACTTGACATACATTTGATTGCTTAAAGGTTGGGTAATAGAGGCCATCCCAAGACTACTCAAATCAGTCATGGCAAGAGTGTCTGCTCAGGTCTAAAAAGTAGATTCAGAAACAGACTGGAACAGGAGATTGCTGAATGACGTTATTACAAAACTCAAGACAGTGGAACCCCCCCGGGCTTAACAGAGATATCAGGTGGTTATTCGCTAACACATGCTAAGTCACTCAGTTCTCACTTATACCCCAAATTAAACTTTGTTGGTTTTAAAGGTGCCACTGGACTCAAACCTCGTTCTCACATCTGTTTGTTAACTCTTTTATTATCTGTATGCTAATTTGCTGCTATTTACAGGTCTTAACTGCCTTAATCTAATCTTTGCATGTGTTGCTCAGTTACTTATGCATCTTGACTCTAATTAGCCCTTCCTGGCAACTAACCTCCCCCCCCCCTACCTATATGTACTAGTAGAAGAAAGTCTTGTTTCACTGTATCTGAAGAAGTGTGCACTCACACAAAAGCTTATACCCAGAATTATACTTTGTTGGTTTTAAAGGTGCCACTGGGCTCAAAACTTTGTTCAGGTCTAAGAAAATTCAAGCAAGGCAGCTCTGTTCGTCTTTTGCAGCAAAACAAAAAGGATTTTCCTGCACCTAAGGGACTTCCTGAAGCAGATGTTTGTTTTTGAAGTATAAGCCCAACAAAAGCTCATGCTTCAAGAAACCTCTGAGCCTTTAATGAATCACAAGACCTCTTTTTGTTTTCCTCAGCTCTAGGAGATTTCTTGCCAAAGCACTGAACAAAATGGCTGTGTGTGTATGTGTGTGTGTGAGAGAGATTTTCTTCACAAATTAAAAAGCCTTTCTGCATGTTGCATGGAGGTTCTAAAAGCAGAATTAACAATGAAACAGAGAAACATGGCACAGATGTCAGTGCCCCCAAACCAGCTTCCCCACTTGCTTGAATCTAACAACCAAGGTTCTACGGCCTGTGCAGAAATAAGAACCCCGGCTGAATGTGAGGGGATGCCGTTCCAGCAGGGCTGCAAGTGCGTAGTAGCAGGTAGAGAAAGAAGTACTTTTCTCCCTTTCTCACAATACAAGAACTCGTGGGCACTCCATGAAATTGCTGAGCGGTCGGGTTGGAACGGATAAAAGGAAGTCTTTCTTCACCCAAAGAGGGATTGACACATGGAATTCACTGCCCCAGGAGGTGGTGGCGGCTACAAGCATGGACAGCTTCAAGAGGGAATTGGAGAAACATATGGAGCAGAGGTCCATCAGTGGCTATTAGTACAAGGTATAGATAGGGACTCTCAGGCTGGGACAAGTGATGCTCTGTCTTCTTGGTGCTTGGGGGGGGCAACAGTGGGAGGGCTCCTAGTCTCCTGGCCCCACTGCTGGACCTCCTGATGGCGCCTGGTATTTTTGGCCACCGTGTGACAGAGTGTTGGACTGGATGGGCCACTGGCCTGATCCAGCATTGGCTTCTCTTATGTTCTTATGTAGTGTCACTGCTAAGGGCGAAGGACACCCACGGGTATCTATTCAGGGGCAAAGGCAGCACTTTTTACAGAAAAATGCCCACAGCTGAGGGCCCCCTCACCACCTGGTCCCTGAAGCCTTTTTCTCCAGGCCTAGCTAAGCCAAGAGCTGGGTTTTGTGTAGGGTTGCCAGCCTCCAGGTGGGGCCTGGGGATCTCCAGCTGACAGAGATCAGCTCCCCCCCCCCGGAGAATATGGCACCCCGCCCTCTCTCAGATCCACCCCCAAAGTCTCCAGGTATTTTCCAACCCAGACCTGGCAGCCCTAGTTTAGTGCCCCTCAGCTGTGCCTTTCTGTTTTCTATTAAATAATAGATCCAACCTTCATAAGATGTTTTCTATTAAATAATAGATCCAACCTTCATAAGATGTGAATAATTTTTTTTAATGTAGACCGCCCCCCACCCCTCCCTTTAATTGCTCCTGGGTTGCTCACCTGGTAGTTTCATCTACAGTGACCCGCTGGTGAGAAGACTCTGAGATAACCAAGTGTAGTTAAGGGCACAGGACCAAGGCGGACAGCGGGGTGGGTTTCTGCAATCAGCTGAGAATCTTGAAAGTTGTGAAGGCACAGCCCACTTTGAAAACGATATTGTGAATTGAATACAGCGAGTCTGTTTTTTCACTGATATCCTTCAAGTTACTGGTGCCACCTTGATAAAGCCATATTGGCGAAATGTGCCGCATACTGAGGAAGTGGGCGACCCCATGGTCCTTCTTTTGGAACCATTCAAGTGTTCCTTTCTTGGAACTGTTGGAGTAGATACCTTCTGGTCGGCGAAACGTGCAGCATACTGAGGAAGTGGGCGACCCCATAGTCCTTCTTTTGGAACCCTTTGGAGTGTTTGGGACTTGGTGAGCCATATACAGGGACTTATGTTAAATCATTTATGCCCTGATTACGAATTGTGTATTGTAATAATAATTTTGCTTCAGATTTGGAAATTGTAGAGATGGTTCACTTATTTGTCTGTAAATGAATTATTGGTTAATTATTACTATCTATTGATTTTTGAAATTGGTATCGACGCCACACACAGCTAATGTCTTTGGCTTCTGGGCCAAGCAGGTTGTGTCGATTTGCTTATTTTGGCGTGCCCAGGTCTGACTCTGCTTTGCCTGGGTGTATGCAGAGGAAGGATGTTTTTGGCGTTGTATGTTCCAGTTCTGTGGTGGTCTTTCCTTCTTCTGGTGGATTGCCAGGAAGTCACCACCTTCAACGTGCACTATCAGGTGCCGGAGGAAAGACAGCCTGGGACTGTGTTGGGAAGGTTGTCTGAAGAACTGGGCTGGACAGAGGGCGGCCAGACCGCAGGGTCCTTCCAGCTGCTACAGCCCTCTGCTCTGCTTCCCATACAGATGGACTCTCAGGATGGTTTGCTACGCACCTTGGGGAGAATGGACAGGGAGCAGCTTTGCCCCCACAGAGACCTCTGTATCATCTCTTTCCGCGTTCTGGCTGCCAGATACCTAGCCCTGATCCATGTGGAGGTTCACGTCCTGGATATTAATGACAACGGGCCTCAGTTTCCCCAAATGTCACTGGAGCTGGAGATATCAGAGAGTGTGCTGTTGCAGACACGAATCCCTTTGGATCGAGCCGTCGACCCAGATGCTGGCTCCAACGGTCTCTGTTCCTACCTCTTGTCACCCAATGAGCACTTTGCCTTGGAGGTATCCGTCGGCTCTGATGGAACTCAGGAGGTGGAGCTTGTGGTCGTGAAAGAAGTGGACCGAGAACGCTACTCCTCTTTCCTTTTGACCGTGACCGCTGTCGATCGCGGCGAGCCCCCCAGATCTGGGAGTGCCTTCGTGAGGGTGACCGTGCTGGACTCCAACGATAACAGCCCGGCGTTCACCCAGAGTTCTGTGACTGTCGAGATGAGGGAAGATGCGTCGCCGGGGACTCTTTTGGTCAACCTCACTGCCACAGATCCCGACCAAGGCCTCAACGGAGAGATCGAATATTCCCTCAGCAAACACACCCCTGTGGAGGTGCTTAGGACGTTTACTATCGAGAGCCGGACAGGCCGTGTCCTCTTGCAGCAGCAGCTGGATTATGAGAAAAAATCTACCTATGAGGTGGACGTACAAGCCCGAGATCATGGAGCGAATCCCATCCCAGCCCACTGCAAGCTTTTGGTCCGGGTTGTAGATATCAATGACAACCAGCCTGAGGTCCATGTCATCTGGGCTGGACAGGCCGCAGTGGTGTCTGAAGCGCAGCCCAAAGACAGCTTTGTTGGTCTGGTGACACTCTCTGACCCAGACGCTGGTGATAACGGGAAGGTGGACTGCTATATTAGCCGAGGGGCTGAGCATTTCTCCTTGAGAAGGATCAGCCCCAGCAGCTACATGCTGCTCACCAACACCCCCCTGGACAGGGAGAACTGGGCAGAGCTTAACCTGACCTTGTTAGCACAGGACCGGGGGACCCCTTCACTTGCTGCCGCCAGAGATTTCACGGTTGACGTTGGCGATATCAACGACAACGCGCCCCGCTTCAAGGCCGATCTATACCATGTTTCGGTTGCTGAGAACAGCATACCCCCTTCCGCTCTGCTGGCAGTCGGGGCCCACGATGCGGATGCAGGCCTCAATGGGAAAGTCACTTACAGTATCCCCGATGCGGTGATTTTGGAGTGGCTTGCGATTGATGCCGGCACTGGGGAAATCTGGGCCCGTACGGCTTTTGATGCCGAAAAGATGGCCAGCTTTGACTTTATTGTGACGGCGGAAGACGCAGGCCAGCCCAAGTTGTCCTCTAACGTTTCCGTCAGGGTCTCTGTGCTTGACGTGAATGATAACTTCCCCGTCATCACAGAGCCCCCGGTGGAGGGTGGGAGGGCAAGTGTGACCGTCCTGGTGGACACGGCCACTGGTCACGTGCTGTGGCCCGAAGGAGAAAAGGGCTCCAATTCAGTCCCCTCGGCCACTGCTCCCCTGCTCTTCACGATCTCTGCCACAGACGCAGACACTGGCTTAAACGGTGCCCTTCTTTACAACCTGCTGAGCGGCGACGGAGCTGGCTTGTTCGTCCTCGATCCCCACTCAGGGCAGGTTCACCTGAACGGCAGCAACGCCGGCAGCCTGGTGGGCCGCGAATGGGACCTGGACGTGTCTGTGAGTGACCGAGGGGAGAAGCCGCTCTGCACCAGAGTCTCGGTGAAGGTGACGTTTGCCAGTCACCGGGAGGACATGCCAGATCCGTCCCCCGTGTCCCAGCCCCTCAGCCCCTCCGCCGTGATAGGGATTTGCCTCCTGGTGTTGCTTGCTCTCTTTCTGGTCAGCTTGACGCTGGCGGTGTCTCTGTGTAAAAGGGAGAAGCACGGCAACATGACGTACAACTGCCGGGAGGCGGAACACGCCTACAGCCAGCAGCAGCCGAAGAAGCCCCCCAAGCCCATCCAGAAATCAGACATCCACATCGTGCCTGTGCTTCAGCGAGGAGAAGCTGAGAAACCCCAGCCTGGGTCCGAGGCTCCCCCAGGAGCTCCTTGGGCCGATGCCTCTGAGGTTCCATGCCACATGACCCCGACCCTGTACAGGACCCTCCGGAACCAGAGAAATCAGAGTGTCCTCACGGAGCAGAGTGAGGGATTTGTCCTCCCTGCCGTGCTCAAGGCTTCCAAACCTCCCCATGCCCAGAAGTTCAAGACACACGGTGCTGCAGACGTGCCGTTCGCTGAGGTAAACCCATCGCCAGAAGCGGCTTCGCAGCAGCAGGACAGCAGGCCCAGCCCCGAGACGGGCCGAGAGGAGGCCTGCAGCCATCACCATATCCTGAGGAGCTTGGTGAGACTCTCCATGGCAGCTTTTGCTGAGCAAAGCCCGACAGGACAGTTGACGCTGGAATCTGGTTCTGTGCAGGTAAGCGATAAATTCTGCTCGGGTTCTTTTCCAAAAACGGGCTGTGGGAGACTTGGAAGGCCTAGGCAACGTGGGTAGGGATGCCAGCCTCCAGGTGTTCTCCAGGAATTTCCCAACCCGAAGTTGGTAACCCTACTGCACTAATGGCCCGGGGACCTGGCAACCCTAGGTAGGGGTATAAAGTGAGTTTTTGAGAGGGATGGTAGATTTACAGTGATTCAAACAGTTAAATTGCATAACACATTCTTTTTCACTCCAAAGGATTATGTTTCCCAGGACAGAATGTCATATGCTAGCAAATGTGTGCATGGGGGGGGGGGGTTGTTGTCGTCAGTGAAGGCAGTGAGCCTTGACGCTCACTCCCTCCTGTCTGTCCTTGTTAAGTGCTGCCTGTTGAATATAGTTGGAGGAGAGCTGGGTTGTCCCCCCCCTCCAGTTTTGGAATTGACCCACTGTAAAGCAGCAAGCTGCAGGAGCAGTGTACCTGAGCTGTAAGAAGGAACAGTAGGGGTATCTATTTCTAGGCAGCTTTTCTACGCCACGGCTACCTAAATGCATTCTCTAGATTCCAGAAATCCTTCCTCAGTCCAGGAGCAGCTCCTGTTACATCCTTTTGCAATTGCATTGTCTTCCAGGATGTAGGGGGGGGGGCTCCTTGTGAACTTATATGGTACCAGATCCCATAGGGAGGGGGTGGGAGCTAAACTGCTCGGTTGGCAGGAGCTGGAACTAGAGACGGGAGCTCACTCCGTCATGCGGCACCTGGGTCTCGAACTGCTGAACTACCGACCTTCCACAGCCTGCAGTTCAGCGTCTTAACCACTTGAGCCACCGCAACTCCAATAAGAGCAGTGTACCTGAGCAGTAAGAAGAAACAGTAGGGGTATCTATTTCTCGGCAGCTTTTCTACACCACTGCTACCTAAATGCATTCTCTAGATTCTACAAATCCTTCCTCAGTCCAGGAGCAGCTCCTGTTACATCCTTTTGCAATTGCATTGTCTTCTAGGATGTAGGGGTGGGCTCCTTGTGAACTTATATGGTACCAGGTCCCATAGGGAGGGGGTGGGAGCTAAGGAATTGGGAGCCTGCACGACAAGGGTGCTGAGACTCATGACACAACTCCAAGGGTGTAAAAGATTTCGTTTCTGCAGAGGGCTGGTGTAGGCTTAACAGGGTTTATTCCTGGATGCCTGCAACTATGCGAGCAAGGTCACTGGCGTCTTAATAACTTTTAAGAAATATGTTGCTAAGCGATTTGTCTTTGGTGTAGCATTGTAGGTTTGTCTGTGGTGGGTGACGTGGATATGAAAGGATATGTTGTGTGTGTGTGTGTGTGTCTGGGTAGGGAGAAGTGATGGGGGGGCCCCATGGACAGCAAAGAGTGGGGAAGAACATTAGACATTATAAATAGCCCAAACGGTGCTGTGGGGAGGGGGGTGGTGAGGATATCCTGCTAGGAAGCAGCTTTGGTAGGAATTGTTTGCAGTGACCGGCTCTTCCTGTCTTGCAGCAAATCTCGCAGCTGCTGTCTCTCCTGCACCAGGGCCAAGTGCAGCCCAAGCCCAACCACAAAGGCAACAAGTACGCAGGGAAGCATGCCTGCTGCAGGTGAGTCTCATGCCGGCCACAGGCCTCAGCCAGGTAAAAGTGACTAGAAGCCGGGCATTCGGCTCCCTGCCTCCAGTGCTGAGAAAGGGTCGCCACCTCTGCTCGGGAGCTCCATGCTTGGCTTCTGCCTTTGCGCTGGCCCTGCTCCTGGGTGCCTGGCAGACTGACACGAAGCGAGCAAAGTCTCCATGTCTGGAGGAACGCAAGTGGAGAGAGGCTGGGAATCAGGAAATCCCACCTCTGCCTCACAATCACAAGGGAAGGTGATTGTAAGCTGCTTTGAGACACATGAGGCCTGCTGGGTGACCCTGGGCCAGTCACTGTTCCCTCAGCACTCTCTCAGCCCCACAAGGTGTCTGTTGTGAGAAGGCAAGGCGATTGTAAGCCCCTTTGAGACACATGAGGCCTGCTTGGTGACCTTTGGCCAGTCACCGTTCTCTCTGAATTCTCTCAGCCTAACCTACCTCACAAGGTGACTCTTGTGGGGAGAGGAAGGGAAGGTGATTGTAAGCCACTTAGGGTAGAGAAAAGCGGGGTATAAAAACCAACTCTTCTTCCTCCTTCTTCGCATGAAGCCTGCTGGGTGACCTTGGGCCAGTCACAGTTCTCTCAGAACTCTCTCAGCCCCACCTGCCTCACGAGGGGCCTGTTGTGGGGAAGGGAAGGACACTGTGCCACTTTGAGACTCCTTAGGGTAGAGAAAAGCAGGGTATAAAAACCAACTCTTCTTCTTGCGTGTGAAACAGCCCAGAACTGTGTCCAAAGAAAAGAAAGTGCTCTGATCATGGAAGCTTTGCAAGAAGTAGTGGGTGTCTTTTCATGTTAGGGCATGGCCTGTAACCGAGCACATGGCGGCTGCACGGATCCAAGATGACAAGAGATAGGTAAACAAAGCATGGCAAGATGGCAGGGGTCTGTTTGCTCCATCTGAAGGTGATGATGATGGCCCAGTCTGGATTCTATGAAGCTCCTTGCATAAGAACATAAGAGATGCCAATGTTGGATCAGGCCAAAGGCCCATCCAGTCCAACACTCTGTCACACAGTGGCCAAAAATACCAGGTGCCATCAGGAGGTCCACCAGTGGGGCCAGGCCATTAGAAGCCCTCCCACTGTTGACCCCCCCCCCCAAGCACCAAGAAGACAGAGCATCACTTGCTCCAGAGTCCCTATCTATACCTTGTGGCTAGTAGCTACTGAGGGACCTCTGCTCCATATGCCTATCTAATTCCCTTTTGAAGCCGTCCATGCTTGTAGCCGCCACCACCTCATGTGGCAGTGAATTCCATGTGTGAATCACTCTTTGCGTGAAGAAGTACTTCCTTTTATCCGTTCTAACCCGACCGCTCAGCAATTTCATGGAGTGCCCACGAGTTCTTGTATTGTGAGAAAGGGAGAAAAGTACCCCTCTCTCTACCTGTTCTTTTCCATGCATAATCTTGTAAACCTCAATCATGTCACCCCTCAGTCGTGTTTTCTCCAACCTAAAGAGTTGCATGGACTCTAATCTGGGAGAACCGGGTTTGATTCCCCACGCCTCCACTTGCAGCTGCTGGATGACCTTGGGCAAGCCATAGTTCTGTCAGAGCTGTCCTTGAGAAAGAGCAGTTTCTGTCAGAGCTCTCTCAGCCCCGCCTACCTCACAGGTTGTCTGGTGTGGGGAGAGGAAGGGAAAGGAGTTTGTAAGCCGCTCTGAGACTCCAAGTGAAGGGCAGGGTATAAATCCAATAATCTCCTCCTCACAGGAACACCAGCCCACACGCTGAGGGGCTCACCACCAAGAAGGGTTGTGGCAGCAAGCACCACGACTTTGCACTGCTGGGAGAGGAGCTAGAGAACCTCCTGGATTCTCCATCAGGTAAGAGAGGCATGCTCTCGTCCCTTCCCTTGTGACGGTGCTGAGGCTCTGGAGTCAACTGGGTCTCACGTGGCCCTCTGTGCCCGACCCTGCTGTAAAAAAAAGGAAATAAAGGCACGGGTTGGACAGCCACCCTCCCCAAGGGCTAAATCCAACTTTCCGTCTCTAAGCCTAACTCTGCACGCTTCCCATTAGTTCATAAATTTCACCAGACGTTGGAAGCACATAAGGGCAGAAACTTTTTTTTTTTAAATGCATAATGCTAAATTCTACACTCAGTACCAAACAGGGTTTCCAATCAGGTTGGGAAATTTCTGGGGATTTGCAGAGCCTGGGGAGGGCAGGGAATTTAATTAGGATATAATGCCAGAGTCCCCCCTCCACAGCAGTCATTTTCTCCGGGGAACTGATCTCTGTAGTCTGGATATCAGTCATCAGTTTGGATCTCCAGCTCCCACCTGGAGATTTGACCAAACATACAAAAGCAACCTCGAAGAATGTGAACAGAATCTGTTTTTTACAAAAATAGTTATTGTGATATCAGATAAACTATCATGCAAAATACAAATAAAGTACAAAAGTCTGTGATCACGCACACGAAATAATCCACTTTCAAATTGGATTTTGCCAGTTCACACAGTAAAAATCCAGTTGGAAAGTGCACTGAAGTTGATTATTTCGTGTGTGTGACCACAGCCAAAGTGTGTTATTACATTAGAAGACATACAAATACAAGCGGGACATAACCCCTGCTGAAATACAATCTTAAAGGGACTGAGCCTATAAACTATCCTCTTAGGCTGTAAGAACAGAAACATTCTCTGTAACAGCCAAAGAGCAGACTCTTGGAGCATGAAGATGTCCAGGTTAGTAATACGCAACAGGCCTGTTTCGAATCAATATCTTTATCAAGCTGTTAGTCTTCATAAGGCTTGTGGGACTTCCACTAACAATAAGAATGAAAGTACAAGGTGTATAATTGCTAGAACAGCTGCAGTAGATAACGTTTCAAAACAAAAATTAGAAAACATAGAGCTTACCTAGATTCTGTTTACATTCTTCAAGGATGCTTTTCTATGTTTGGCCAGTTCTGTTATTGGCAGGGGTCATTTCATAGAAAAAGAGGTGCAGGAGCTCATTAGCATAACTTATTAGCATATGCCACACCCCCTGGCATCACCGGGCAAAACCCACCGTTCACACTCCACTGAACTGTTTGAACTGTTTTGGATTGCGAGCTTTTGGGGGGGGGGGATGTGCAGAGGAGGGAGAGCTTGTACCTGAAGGCGGGCCGGGAGGGGGCTCTGCACCTTACCTGGCTGCTTCTTGCTCCTCATGGCCCGACTGAGGGCTGCTGGGAGCAGCTTGTTGAATGTGCCCGCCCCCTGAGCTCCTTACTGCCGGAGCTCCGCTCCTGTGCGCTCCTGCAGGAAATGACCCCTGGTTATTGGCAACGGATAAACGGATAAAAGGAAGTACTTCTTCACCCACAGAGTGATTAACACATGGAATTCACTGCCACAGGAAGTGGTGGTGGCTACAAGCATGGACGGCTTCAAAAGGGAATTAGATAAGCATATGGAGCAGAGGTCCATCAGTGGCTATTAGCCACAAGGTATAGATAGGGGCTTTGGGGCAAGTGATGCTCTGTCCTCTTGGTGCTAGGGGGGGTCAACAGTGGGAGGGCTTCTAGTGTCCTGGCCCCACTGCTGGACCTCCTGATGGCACCTGGTATTTCTGGCCACTGTGTGACACAGAGTGTTGGACTGGATGGGCCTTTGGCCTGATCCAACATTGGCGTCTCTTATGTTCTCAACCTTCTTCTTGCTTGTTTGCCCAGCTGGAGATTGGCAACCCTGGTACCAGAAGTTGCGCTGATACCAGATCGTACGGCCCCAGGCTGATCCTTCCAAGGCTGCCTAATTAAT